AATGTAGAGAATTATGCATAATGTTTTCCCTTATATTTTATTTGGGGAAATGACAATAATTATGATAAAAGAAAAACTTTCACATAAATGATAATGTCCTCTGTGATTCCAGGCAGGTAATGTGACATATGCATGCAGTAGGCATACCAGAAAGAGGCAGAAGGGACAGGTCGTTATGTGAAATGATCTTGACTTACAAGAGATTTTATGGGGCTGGGGATTTAGCTCAGCGGCATAAGTGCCTGCCATGCAAGCAGGCAGTCGTGAGTTCGATCCCCAGTACCAATAAAAAGAAAAAAGACAAAAAAAAAAAGAGATTTTGCAAGTGGAGCAAAATAATACACTAAGTGGAAAGTAACATTTTAGGAGAAAATGGTAGCCTTATTTGGTACATAGATATGGCAAGTATCAGTAGGAAAGTTATTGGAGCAAATTGTCCTAAAATCTATCAAAGGATGCTGTGGTCTAGGGTGAGAAGCATGTTTTATTTAAGGCACAATGTCGAGGAAGTTTCTATAAAGACACTACAGATCTAAAAGTGTTTGTTAGTCAAGAATAGAGGCAAGAGGAGGTGCTAGCAAGTTAGACAAGGCAGGGAGCATGAAGTAATAAGCAGACTAATTTGCTACTTATTTCCAAATCTATTTGCATTGTGCTCCCTCTTTTCAATTTTTCTGGACTCTGCTTGTGAGATTTGTGTGGTTGCCAAGCAACAGGCGGAAATCATGAGCTCTCAATTCTTCTTTACCATATTGCCACTATCTTCTTCCCTCCTGGCAATCTGACAGCAAATAAGGCTAAGTTATGTCTTGTAGAAAGTAGCAGAACATTTTAAGGACTATTGCACGTGATCACTGCTGATACCTGTATTAGTCAGCTTTGCATCTGTTATGGTTTCTATGTAGACACCCCCTTCAATTCTCTTGCACTCATAGACAGGTTTTTAGGATGGTGATTGGATCATGAAGCACTGTGCTAATCAAAAGTGAGATTAGAACACTGAGGAGTCCATACCTGTTAGGAGATACGGATAGGTTAGGAGATCCAAAGAAGTGGGTCAATGGGGTGTCACCCAGAAAGGTGTGTCTCTTTCCCCAGCTCTTCTCTTCACTCTCTGTTTCCTGGCAGCTACAAAGTGAGCAGCTCTCCTCTGTCCAGGGCTTTCAACTGTGCATTATTGCCTACAGACTAAACACATGAGCCAAAAATATACCTTTCCTCCTTTAAGTGGTGGTCGTCAAATTTTGTGTCCCAGTGAGGAAAAACTAAGCATCAATGTGATGAAATAATTAACAAAGGTGCTTTATGAAATGAAGAGAAATTTATTTTGGCCTTTGATTCCAGAGGTTCAAAGTTGGCTCAAACTTCAACTTTGTGCGAGGACTAAATCCGTGTTTTGAGCCTCTACACACATGGCACATCATGTCAAGAGCATTCCATCATGCTGACCAATTATATCTCAAGCCAGAAGCAGAGAAAGGTGTGGGGAGAACAAGAGATTGGGGTCCCACAATTCCTCTTGAAAGCCTCAAGGATGTAAGTCCACTAGACTTCATTATCTTGAAAGCCCATAGCACCTCCCATTACCACCACTTTAGGGACCAAGCCTTTATGTATAGACCTTGGGGGACATCCATCCAAACCAGAGCAGTGCTCAATTCAAAATATGATTATGGCCCTAGGTGGCATCTAATATGCAGAAACCAGACAGTTCATGAAGCCCTTATCACGGTATGCCTCACAGTGAGTCCACTGAGTCCATGAACCCATGTGATGGACATTTCCCTAATTCCCAAGTGTATAGCAGAAATAAATATACGTTACAGTTAGATCAACACTCTATCAGTTCCTTACCCTGTGGAATACGAGCTATCAAAATAATCAATGGCAAGTCTATAAAACTGCAAGTCAAAACAGTGAATAAAGCTAGGTGTGATAGCACATGCCTGTAATCCTAGCACTTGGAGGCAGAAGGATGGATCAGTGTGAGCTCATGGGCCACATTGGGTTACATAGTGATTTCAAAGAAAGCCTGAATTACATAATGACACCTTGCCTCAAAAAAAAGAAAAAAAAAGATAAAAATAATACAGGGAAATGGTACTGCCTTTTTTGATTATTTATACATCTCATCTAATTCACCATACTTACCCTACAAAACCCTAACAACTTTTAGAGAAAAAAAAGTAGTACTATAACATAACCAAAAACTATCCTCAATTAGATGCTGTTCCAGGCATGAAATCTTACAGGAGAAGAAAAATGTGAGCTCAAATAATTGGTTCAAACTGATTGGTATCATAAACATGTTTTTTCCCAATCTTCTCATCTAAAACTATTCACATTCATTTGGAGCAAATAGTAGAAAACATATTTACAGTGCTGTCCTATGGCTAGTTGTTTCACCTAATTTCTAACATAGTACACTCCAAATCAGAAAATCCAAAATCTGACATGCTTTAAAATTTTCATCTTTCAAGTACTATCTCAAAAGCACAAGTTTCATACCATGAAACTCTGCTTTGTGTAAAAAAAAAAAGTAAAACATTGCATCAATTACCTTCAGGCTATGTGTGTATGATGTATATGAATTATAAATAAATTCTATGTTTAAACTTGGATTCTCTCTCCCAGACATCTCATTATGAATATGCAAATATTTCAAAATCTGAAATAAACCTGAAATCCAAAAAAACTTCTGGTCCCCAGAATTTTGGATAATAGAAACTCAATCTGTATCGTTCTAATAGTTGTAAACTCCCTGCACAGACAGACTCATACAAATCGGATTAGATGAACAAGGATTGGCAAGCTGGAGGAGGCCTTGTTGAGAAACTTGAGAGTGCAGGAGAAAATTCTTCCAAATTTTTGAGCATCTGCTACATCAATGAAATTTAGAGGTTTGGGGGACCAAGGGAATACTTTTTCAGGTATTAAAAAAGATTTCCCTATTTCTAAAATATTTTTTCTAGATTATCTCATTTCCATATTTCGAGCTGTGATCCATCTGGAGTTTGTGGGACTTTTGTTTTTTACCTGGGAAGTAGAGGATCTGTCTTCATTGCTCATGTAGTATTAACAATTACCTTCAGGATCATTTTATTGGGAGGAAAAAGATCTTGCTCCGTTGCACCTTTTTAAAATTTAATTATCTTATCTCTGTGATCTCTTTAAGTCTGTGTATTCTGACCTATTTGCCTATTTTCTATTCTTGTGACAACAGAACACTGATTTAATAACTATAACTTTAAGATAGTTTTTTACATTAGTACTCCAGCTTAGTTCTACAAAATTGTCTTAGTCATACCCATCATTTGCATTTCCATGCAGATTCCTAATGTTTATCAATTTCCATCAAAAATCTTCTGGGACATTATTAAGTTTACATTGAATATATAAAGCAATTTTGGGAGAAATTATATCATAATAGCCCATGAACCAGCCCTATTATCTTGCATTTATTTAGGACTTTTGTGTCACATATTTTTTAAAACAGGACTTATACTACATTCCCAGCCCTGTATCACATTTTTAAAAAGATTTACTGCTGAATATTGGATAGTTTTGGTGCTATTATATTATTTTATATATGTCACTTTCTATTCTAGAATAAAGGTACACAATTCAAATTTATATCCAGTGATCTTATCAAAGTCAACTAAAGTTTGCCAATGGTCTTTTAGATTTTCAATGTACCCAATTGCATCATTTGTACATAATGACTTGCTCATTCCTTTCCAATTTGTATCTTTTGGTTCTTTTTCTAACGGTATAAGCAGAGCCTCCAACAGCACGCTAAAAATACATGTTAAGAATATATGTTCTAGGGGCTGGGGATTTAGCTCAGCGGCATAAGCGCCTGCCTTGAAAGCAGGCAGTCGTGAGTTCAATCCCTGGTACCGATGAAAAGGAAAAAGACAAAAAAAAAAAAAAAAAAAAAAAAAAGAATATATGTTCTAGTTTCATTCTTGATCTCATGGAGAATCAATAATTTTCCTTATATAATGTTGGCTGTAGTTTTTCATAAAAATCTTATTTAGATCAGGATGTTCCTATCTTTCAACGATGTTACAATAAATGGATGTTTAATTTTATCAAATGTTTTTTCTTTGTAATTAGTAAGATCACATGACTTTTCACCTTTAAAAACATTCTATTGGCTTATACTGATTTTTCCCCCTACAGTTAACTGAAATATATATCACTTAGTTGTCATCATTCCCTTTTTTTTTTTTTTTTTTTTCCGTAATCGTTCCTTTTGTCATGCCACTTAATTAAATTTAGCAATCGTGTTTGGGATTTTTGTGGTAGGGAAACAGGTAAGTAAGTCTTTGGGAAGAAAAAATCCCAAACGTGTTTTTTGTTTTTTGTTTTCTGTTACAGACTACTTTTGTCAATGAGCAATTATGTGATCAGAGTGCGCTCTCAGGTGTTCAGCAGGCAGGACGCAGGCAGCGGAGAGGTGGGTGGTGACACCCCAGAGGGGCTGCTGCAGGATTAAGAGGACAGTGGAAATGGGCAATACACTGCCCATCCGTCTCGTGTGGTTAGATGCAGTATAACCTGATGAGATTTAAAAAAAAAAAAAAAAAAGCTAACAGAAGTTCATTTAAACACGGAAAAGATCGAATTTTGCGTTGTCTCGCGGGGGAAATCTTCACCTTCATCACTTATCACCATTATCAGAACTGATACAGAGGAACAAGTGCTATTTAAAACAGCAAATTCACGTAACTGTATAACTGACCAGTGTTTTAATGCATTTAATTTGAAACTTTCCTTAAAATGATTTAGATTTTTTAAAAATATTATTTGGATATAATTTTTAGAAATTCTCTTCATTCACAGTAAGAAAAAAGTAGACAGCACATCTTCCATTCTGTTCACCTCAAAACCAGACGGATATTCACACGCGCTGCTCCTTTTCCAGACACCAGGTGGCACCCGAGCTCCTGCGAAGCGCTCCGGTCGCAACCGTGGGCTTCCCAGGGACTCGCGCGGTTCCTGGGAGCGCGCACGTCCGAACCCGCGCGAACTGCGGGAGCTGTGGCCGCGCACGTCGGCCAGTTTTGGATACGTGGCCGCAGGCCGCCAAGGTCCTGCCAAGCCGGGCCATGTGGAAGCTGCTCCCCGCCGCTGGCGCGCCTCGAGGTAGGACTAGAAAAGAGACGTCGGATCCCTTTTTCGCGGAGCATGAGCTGCGGGACAATCCCCGCACGGTGCTTCCGGTCCGTGCTGGCCGACTTCCGGCGCCGCGTTCCTTCATTTCCGCCCTGGGAGTCTGGGTGAGGGCTGGGGGAGCGGGGATCCGGCTGTGGGGGCCCGCTCTCCTTCCGTGGCGGCGCGGGGGTTTGAAGCTGGCTATGACCGGGCGGTGGGGTGGGCTCGCCCTCTTCCAGATGGGAACCAGCCCTAGCTTTGACGGCCTGCCGCACCGGGCCCTCTCCGCGGTCCCGGGCGATTAGGGGAACGCCGGGCTGTCTCGGCCCAGACCCCGCGGTGCCGGCGCTTGATGCCGTTGGAGCGCAGTGATGATTTTTGTAAGGAACCACGTGGCTTTCAGTTTAGTTTCAGACCCTTTCCGTAACATCAGCACCACAGAAAAAGATGACGCCCCCCCACTTTGCACATCTAGCAGCAGGAGATGTTTGTCATATGTTGAAGCGGTTCCCTCTTGTATGATCATAGTTAGGAGCAAGTTAAATGGGTACCCGTGACTCGGCCACGTCCTCAGCACGTTTACATTATGATTGGACAAAAGAGTGAAGAAAGGGTCAGACACAAGAATAAAGGCATCCCCATGGCTCACCGAGTTGGTGAGCAAGTAAGATCGAAGTCAATACTAGCCTGAGTTTTGCTCTTTAGTTTCCTGTAATTGTTTAAAAACAAGTTTAAAAACAAGCAAAACCTCCAGAGGAATTAAGTTGACCAGTTTATTTGAGGGAAGGAGGAGTCATGAGTCTTGCGTCAGCCTGAACTAGTAGCTGTCCCAATAGCTCCCACCCAGCATTTTGGCCAGGTAATATTTATTGACAAGAAAAAGTGACGTTACAGAAACCGATGGGTTCTACCTCAGCATTGGCTTATTTTCCGGGAAACTGTGACTAAGCATTTAGTTTACATGGTAGTGGTCTGTTCACCGAATCTACTTAACCACATCGCAAATACAGATTCGTGATTTTATTTGGTAATACATTAAATTGATTGTTTTGGGGAGGTAGTAACTCTTCACTTTTTCTTTTTAGAAAAATGATATAACTTTCTATTTAGATTGTATCCTTCGTTGAGGCTTTACTAGAAAACAAAGTTTGATATGCAGTTGATTACCATAGTGAAATAAGCACTTGATTTAAATATTTGGCATAGCTGTATCATGTATATTGTACACATAAATATGTGCATATGTTTCTGTATATTCAGTGTGCACTTTTAAAATTTTGTTTTTGCTTTTTCTTAGAACCGTGTAGACTGTTGACTGATGTTGAGTATGTTGTTGGAAGGAAAAACTGTGCCATTCTAATTGACAACGATCAGTCCATCAGTCGAAATCATGCTGTGTTAACAGCTAACATTTCTGTAACTAACTTGGTATGTTTCTAATTTTATGTATCTACTTCACAGTGAGTTGAAGTCACAAATGATTATCTCTAAGCATATGTGAGAGCTCATAGAACCTTTTATCTCATGAAACTTAAGTTTCTTATAGTATTAACAAATCAAATATTTATATTTAGAGCTGGAGGTATGGCTTAGTGATAGAACCTATACATAGTGTGTGTAAAACTGTTTGATCCCCAGCACCCTGTAAAATATGAAACAGACACGTAATTGGCATCCTTACATGTGGTATTTGTTTATTTTGATGTTTGAGTTTTCTGTTTTAGTATTATACTTCCTGACTTAGAAACTCAGAGCAAGTAGTGCATACTTCTACTTAGTTACTTAACATGCTTCACGTTAGTCATTTTTCCTCACTGTGAAGCAATACCTATAATTAATCCCAAGGAGGAGAAGTTTATTTTGGCTTATAGTTTCAGTAGTCAGTTGTTTTACTGTGTTTACTTTGGTCCTGTGATGCATCGTACACCATTGCAGGAACACATGGCAGCCAAGAAGCAAAGAGAGAAAGAGGCAGATGTCCCATTAGCCCCTTTAGGAGCATATTCGCAGAACCTAATTTCCTTCCACTAGACTCCATCTCTCAAAGGTGCTTCCATCTCCCAGTAGTGTCGCAAGCCTTTAGGATAAACTCCAGATCCAAGCCATGGCACATTTGTGAATGGCTAGTGTGTACATTCATTATGCCAAGCTTGGGAGTGGAGCAGTGAGTGGACATTCATGATTCCTGCTCATGGATGTTGTGTAACCCCAAGTGGACACAGCCATTTCCCGTAAAACAAATGTTTCCACAGTAAAAATTGATGTGTTCTGCCTGGCAAGTGTGAGGTCATGAGTTCAATCTCTGGTACCAAAAACAAAAAAAATTGATATGTTTCATTAGGAAAAAATAACTGTTGCATATGCCACTCTGCTGCTTTGAGTTTTGGTGAAGTTGTGTTAATTATGAGTAATAAAAATATATAAAAATTTCTGGTTATAATAGTGTTTATGAAAAAAACTAACATTTATGGTACTAAGAAAAGCCATTATTTTGATTAGAGTGCATATATGTGAAAGTTGGATTTGTTCACTGATACTTAGGTTTTGTGTATATTTTTTTTTTTTTTGGCATAAAAGAACATCATTGAAATTCCTACACAAAAAGTAAATGTTGCTATAAGCCAGAAACTCTAACCAAAAATCTTACCCAACCAATGTAAAGAGGAAAAGCTTTTTTTTTTTTTTTGTAAAGGAATGAAACGGACTTGTTATAACCTGAAATAGACTGTATCAGACCAAATGTATGGAATTGAGGGGTTAGGGAAATCCCGAACTTATAAAAATAAAGAAAGTTTGTGCTCCAAGAGGATTAATCCTGGGATTAAGACATTTCCTTAACTGAAAGTTTAATTGCTAGTTGAGTGATCATTCCCTGAAGACATCCAAAACTGTAGCTATTGTCTGCTTAACTTTTCCCTATCCGAAAGTTAGTAATCTTTTGAAAGCCTTTCCTTTGGAAATTACACTACTGAGTGATAAAAAGACTTTACAATTATTTATTTTTTTCAGCAGCAAACGCATGAAATTCCTACTTTGACAATAAAAGATAATTCTAAGTATGGTACCTTTGTTAATGAGGAAAAAATGCAGAATGGCCTTTCTCGAACTTTGAAGACAGGGGATAGAGTTACCTTTGGAGTGTTTGAAAGTAAATTCAGGTAAGGAGTTTTTAAATTAATATTAAAATAGGTAGCTCTATTTGACATGAGCCAAATTCCAAAGGAAAAGTATATGGATACTGAGTTGAAAACAGTCCATTTTTGTTTCTGTTTGGTGCAGGAGTGCACTCTGCCATTTGGGTTTGGCGCATTTATCAGTCACAGGTAGTGATGAGATTATGAGATTGGATGAGAGACTGAGGGGGCCCTAAGAGCCTTCATGAGAGCACAGTTGCTCAATTCCTCATAAGTCAAAGTGTAATTTGGTCCTTTTTTCCCCTATTCATTGGAACTCAAGTCTTAAGAAGTAATAATTTTATAGATTAGAAAGTTTAATAATGCCTAAAAATTAAAATAACTTTGTATTGAGAGTATAAACATTGCCATTTCTGTGATAATTTAACTTTGTGAAACTTATTTTTATTTATAGAGTAGAATATGAGCCTTTGGTTGCATGCTCCTCTTGTTTAGATGTCTCTGGGAAAACTGCTTTAAATCAAGCTATATTACAGCTTGGAGGACTTACAGTAAACAACTGGACAGAAGAATGTACTCACCTTGTTATGGTATCAATTAAAGTTACCATTAAAGTAAGTTGAATTTCTTTTTCTGCTAAATTCTGTAAACTTAAGCTTATCTACCATAGACAGACTTTTAAGTTTTTACTTTGAGACTTTCAGAGCTATTACAGATTTCTGTGTCTGTCTTCTGCCTTTTTTTAGATCCAGATAGCTTTTTAGATAAGCTGTTTATGTAAGATAAGAAACACATAAAATTATTTTCAGAGTGTAATTAAGCATTTTCAAAAAGGAATCCTTTTATCAAGTTTAGCTGGGTGTATAGTTCATATTTTGCCTAAAAGCAAAGAAACCAAAGATTAACTGCCCTTAGGTCTTCAAAGGTAGCATCTTGTGATTTCTGTCAAGTTGTCCTCCTCCAGTTTCTGTTACTTACCATTTTATATCTCATGCTGTCCTAATTTTTGTCTTTATCACAAAAATTTAAGTTCTTATAGTTTAATATTATCTTAATGTTACCATTGCAGTCTAGAAAAATGTAAATATACACCATTAGAAGATGCCGTTATTTATTAAAACACTGATTTTTTTTGATATATATTTTCAGATTTTACATCTTCCTCAAATTTATTTCCAAAGCTAAGTGAAGAATGACATTGGGAAGTGATTCGTCTCCTTTTATGCAGAATGATTATAGATGCATGGGATTCTTCTGGGTTAATATCTATATATAAAATCAAAACTTTCAGTATTTGATATAATTAGAGTATGTGTATCAGACTAGTGAGGTGTTATAGACGGGCTTGCTGCGCATATTGAACTTTAAGTTAAATTTATACCTTGGTGGAATTTTCCCTGGGCAAGAATTATTTTTTTAATTTGCAAGTTTGTGAAATTCATTTTATATATTCAGTGCCTGATTAGTCCCTGTGATGATAGTCTATTCTAATACACCTCGAGATAGTAGATTTGTAAATCACATTATTAATTTTCACATTTTTTGTGGATACATTTTGAAGACTCATAGCTTTTTTACATATTTTTCCTTTATATATACTTAATACTGTCATTGTTTTCTAATGCAGCAGATATTAAATGTCATATTGTGATTTGTGACTTAAACTTGAGTAATTATGTAGTATTTGTATTCTAAATATCTGAGCACTGACCAAATGCTGTCTTCTATTTTATTGAATGTGCCTCCTTTATAAATTTAGAATTGAGAAAAGGAAAAAAGTGTTGAACCTTTTTTCAGTTTATAACTTAAAACTATTTTTAACACCAAGGTATAAGTCTATATTCACTTGTGTTTTCTTTATTTTAGACAATATGTGCACTTATTTGTGGATGTCCAATTGTAAAGCCAGAATACTTTACTGAATTTGTTAAAGCAATTGAGTCCAAGCAACAGCTGCCACAAGTTGAAAGGTATATTACGTATGTCGGATAAAATAATATATGACACACTGGTTTTTATATACATTAATTCCCTCTTTATTGTCTCTTTCAGGATGTAGTGGTTACTATAAAAGTATAGTGTTGTTAGTGACAGATTGTTTTTATTATCTCTGCATGTGAAGTATTTCCCAAATTCTTTGTTGATAGTTTCTTGTATCTATGAAACAAATGTTAAATAAATCTTAATATTTAAGGAAAAATTTAAAGGACAGTAAGTGGCCCTGAGTTGTGACCAAAAAAGCACATATTTCAGTGCCAGGCATCGTGCGAGAGTCACTTCTGAAACTGCATGGTGCGGTGACCCTTTCCAGGAGCCACCTCATCCAGGGTCTGGAATGAGGACAGCACTGTGGCCTTGTGCATGGAGCCTCTTCTAAGCTTCAGTTGCCTCATTTGAAAAATGAGACTAATACCTGTCCAGTTTTCTTTTAACTTTGAGCAGTCAGTCAATAAGTCTTCAACATTATATCAAAATGGATCCAGACAGGTACAGGAATCTATTAAGGCAAGTGCCTATACATTTTAAAATAATACTGAAAATTGGATTCTCAATTGCCACAATCAAATATAGGCTACAGTAGTAGTTTTTTTGGTCAATAGTGAAGTAAAAATTATTGAACAATTTTATAGTAGGATGTTTTAATGTAGCAATATATGTTAACACTGTTGGAAATCAAACCAAAAGAAACTATGCTGAACTTATGTGAAAAACAGCTGCACATTAAACAGACCAAAAAATCTGAAAAAAGGTGGACTTAGTGTCAAATTCTAAAATTTCTAAGACCACAATAGACATCACCAGCAGTAAAATTTATCAGATACTCTACCTTCAAGTAATGTAGAATTAATAATGGCTTATTATCTATAATCAGGATTATTATTTACATCAATTATGAACTCTCCCAGAGAGATTTATCAGTAAGCTTCCAGGCAAAATGTCATCATGTTGAAATACTGTAAGTTTATAGTACGTAAATAAAATTTCTTGACGAGAGAACCATGTTTCCATATGATCACAGGGTATAAGACTCAAGAAAGTTTACAAATAATCTGTTTGAAAATTGAAGAATCTTTTCCCAGAGTCCAAAAATATTATCTACTAACCAGGTTATAAAATACAAGAAACCTCCCAGATCAAACTTATCAAGAGAAAAATCTGATTTTTGGCTACTGCTAAAAGCTGACATCTATTGTCACTATAAGTATAAATAGTTCCTGAAAAACTGTTCATTGGGAAAAATGTCTTATTATAGCAAGTAATAGTTTAACATTGGTCATAAAATTCTTATAAAACATGTTAATTTGTAAAACCTCTTCAAACAGTAAAAATTATCCTATAAAGATGTGCTTATAAATATAGAATTTGTTATATATAAATTATACAGACATGTATTTTTAAGTAAGGAAATTCCCCTACTATTACTTTAAATAGTTACTTTAAATATTAACTGGATTGAGTTACAAAAAGGAAATAAGCCACAATGACTCTTTTATTACACAAATACTTCATCTTTTTCCTCCAATAAAGTGTGATCACTTGTATTTAAATTAGGATGCTTACTATAACATCTTTACCCAGCAAAAAAATACAGATTCAGTACAACTACCTTTTCATCTTTGTACTGTTATCAAGGAACATGGTAAATCAGAGTTACAGCCTCATACCTGATAGGATTTGTGATGCCTCATTATTGTAAACCATCCTCAAAGTACCCATGTAGTTATTCTGACTCCATTTAAGACGAGTATTAATTTTTGATTGTCTGTACTATAGTAGGGAAGTTTATTAAAGATGTATATATCTGAATGTAAGAAAATTACCCTTTAGAACAAAAAAGTTGCGTTTTGAGGTACTCTCAACTTACTTTAAACAGATTATTTTAGGCCCTGTTTTGGAGTCTAGAATTCATAAACACCTTGCTGCATATGCCAAAATACACCAATCTGACAGCCCTTTATACAGGCCATTTCTCACAGTTAACCTTTGCACTGGGAAATCTTGAGACATAATTAGTATTTCCCTCCTAAAGCAGAGAACAGACTGACTTGTAGGTTGTGAAAATTACTGCCTTCAAAGTTCAGTGTTCCTTCTTCTGGTAAAGCAAACCACTGTATCTTTTGTGCCTTCTGCATGGAGCTTGGTCAGGAGAAACCTACCACAACCTCTCAACCTTTTGTAACTTTTGTAATTTTTGATTCATACATGTTTAATGTGTATTCCGATTGTATGCCTTGGGTTACTTTGAGAAAATAAAAACCAGTTCTCCTGTCATATGGCTTTTGTCTCCATACTTCTAGAAAATACATTTAGATGCTTGTCATCATTTTGTCCCAGGCAACATTATTTAAAAATGACTTAGGCATAGAGACACATGCCTGCATTCTAGCACTCAGGAGACTAAGGCAAAAGAATTCCTCTGAGTTTGAGGCCAGCCCAGGTTACGTGTGAATTCAAGGCCAGCCCAGACTACATAGCAGGAGCCTGTCTCAAAAACAAAATTCTTAAAAATGGTAGCATAGAAATTTTTTGTATTATGATGTAGTTGCCCCATTTACAAATTTAATAGTAAACATACTGAGTAGTATATAATTGCAGTATGCTTTAATTATTTTTACAGTTTTTACCCACCTGTTGATGAACCGGCTATTAATGGTAAAACTATTGATCTGTCAGGACGACAGGAAAGAAAACAAATCTTCAAAGGAAAAACATTTATATTTTTAAATGCTAAACAGGTAATATTATAAGCTAAATTTTCCTAAAGAAAACTTTTTTTTGGTACCAGGGATCAAACTCGAAACTTCACGCTTGCCAGACGGGTACTTATGCCACTGAACTAAATCCCCGGCCCCTGAAGAAAACTTGTTGAAGTCAGGTGCATTACTATTCATTGATAATTGTTATTGTATTTTATTTGGAATTTCTACAGATATGTGAAGTACAAGGAACCTGCGCCAACACCAGAGGTTGTGTAGTTAGATCACGTATATGTTAGGTTTATGTAAATGCATAAATGGAGAAGATGCAAAACTTTTAAGTCCTAACTTGTTAATCTCTGTGGAATTTCTGTGTGCCAAAATAAGGATTCCAAGAGTTTCTTTTATAGGAAAAAAATCACTCATGTAATCCCACATTTTGAGAGTGGGTGGTGAGGAAGGGCAACAGTGTCAAGGTTTGTCTTCAAAGGCTGTGGACACACCTGCTGACCTAGGAATTTTTTTCTCTACATGGAAGCTCATATTACACAGTCAGGAAATAGCATAAATTCCTCTGTTTTTATTCCTTTTTTATTGCATAAGAATGGATATGAAAAATTTAATTGTTACTGGGGCCAGGGGTATAGCTCAGCATCAAAGTGCCTACCTGGCAAGCACGAGGTCCTGAGTTCAATTCCTGGTACCAAAAAAAAATTAATTGTGACTATTACTTTGCTTTTTACAAAAATGTTTCTTTACATTTTCAGCATAAGAAATTAAGCTCAGCAGTTGTTTTTGGAGGTGGAGAAGCTAGATTGATAACAGAAGAAAATGAAGAAAAAGACAGTTTTTTTTCAGCTCCTGGGATGTGTGTTGTTGATACAGGCATAACAGATACACAGATCTTAATTCCTGACTCGCAGAAAAAATGGATTCACTCAATTGTGGATACACTCCAGAGGTACAGAATTATTCCTCATTAGTTAAAAAAATGCCATTAGGCGATTTTGTATGTAATTTAATTTTGCTTACTAACATAAATGTAGATAACAAGAATTATTATAAGGGTTTATCAGTTTACTTGGGAATTAATTGTGACTTATATGCCATAAAATATTATATATAATATTTTTATTTAAATATTTTATCTTTGTTTGTTACTTGAATAAAATCTGAGGAATTTAACACTCTTAAGTTAATAAAGTAATACAAAAGTTTCCTACAGAAAATGTTGAGGTTGAGGTTAATACTCAAACTAAAATTCTTAGAAATTGCCTGGAACTGAAATGTTGATTATTACCCATTGAAAATACACATACTGCCTGGTGGTACAGATCTTAATCCTAGCACTCTGGGAGGCTCAGGAAGGAGGACTGAAGTTTGAGGCCAACCTGCACATCTTAGTGATTCAACAGGACCCTATCTCAAAATTAAAAATTTTAAAAAGAAACAGGATGTAGCTCAGTGTGTAGGCCCTGGATTAAGTTCCCAGTATCACCAGGAAAAAAAGGAAGCATACAAAACTTTTTGTTGCTCTTATTTTGGCTACTATGGAAAAGCAAAGGGAAAGATGTCAGGTAACTTAGAAAAATGTTTGTAGTACAGAGAGTGTAAAAGAACTACATCCAGAGGCTTTTTTTCCCCTTAGACTCTATTGGTATTCAGTGGTCTTAGCATTTTTTGATGCCAAAGAAGTATTGTACAAATGCCAGGTCTGACACTCTGATAGTTAAATTTCTATTCATCTAGCAAAGAGTAGTTGGAACCTAGAGTTTTTTATGCCTGGAAAACTCATAGGTAGTTTCTTGTAAAGGATTGAGTTTTCCTACCCTGGACTTCTGACTATGGAATTCCTTTTTACTTTAACAAATTTCTTGAACAAAAAGTAAAATTTTCATCATCTGTCCAATCTGTGTTATTACTTATTGAAGATATATTAACTAGTGTTTAAAAAATCTTGCATAACAATACACTATCTTGCTGCTACAACAAATGTACTGTTATCTTAGGATGTCAGATCAAATTTGTGAGCTCTTCCAGTTGTTAATTGTTGTTATTGTTTATGTCTTCTCTCTTCACCTATTCCCTAAGCCTTGCATAAAAAATAACGCAGTCTGCCATCCAGAATGCAAGGCAGATAATTGAAAGTAACCTGCCACTGATTACTGTAAATGGAACTAGACCTGGTTCTAGTAGACCACTTCAAGGAATAACTGTCATCCTGAATCTTGTGGTCACTTTAGTGACTTAGCTGCTATTAAACATTCTTTTACATAAGTATTTATTTCACAAGATAAATGCCAAAGAATACAGTTCCTAGAATATATATTTGTGTATTATTTTTGACTTGTAGAAATTACCTATACAGTCTTGATGTTAATCCTTTTTTTCATTTATGTGCATTGCAATATTTGTTAATACTTTATAACCGAACCTGTTCATGTACTGGAAAGTAAAAACTCTAATTAAGCATGATGGCCCATTCCTGTAATCCCAGAATTTACAGTGAGTAAAGTAAGCAAATTGGAAACACAAAACCCAATCTCAAAATTTTAAAGATATATAAAAAGGGCTGAGTGTGTAGTTCAGTGGGCAGAGTACCCTGAGTGTAAGCCCTAGTACTGTATTGTCAAAAAACAAAAAAAGTCTTAATTTTAATATAGTGAAAATCATTCTTTTCTTTTGCAATCACTGATTTTTATATTTTAATTCTTCTTAGTCATATATTTTAAAAGATACTTATATTTCTTACCAATTATTACTCATATTTTGACATTTTCAGTTGAAATTTGTGTTGAATGCATCACACTCTGTTTTATGTCAAAGTTCATACATGCATGGCTTTGTTTTTGGCTTTTTTCCCCTCAATCAATCTGTGCATCTTTGTACCAAAATATTTACTATATTGTCTTTTTTTTTTTTTTTTTTTTTTTTTTTTTGTCTTTTTCCTTTTTTTTATAGGTACCGGGGCTCAAACTCACGACTGCCTGCTTGCAAGGCAGGTGCTTATGCCGCTGAGCTAAATCCCCAGCCCCTTACTATATTGTCTTAATTATTATAGATTTCAGTAAGTTCTCATGGTTGTTAAGACAGATCTTTTTTTGCCTTTCTTCAAAAGAATCTTGACTATTCTTGGTCCTTTCTTTTTTCATACACATTTAATATTAACTTTTCAAAAAACCTTGTTGGATTAGGAATTCCTTTGATTCTATAAATTTACTTGAAGAAAATGAAAAGTTTAATTTTAATCTTTTCTATTCATGTACATGGCATCTCTCCCCATTTATTTGGATTTTTTTATTTCTAATTATCTATAGTTTTTTAAAAAAAAATAGAGCCAGGTGGTGCATGCCTGTAATCTCAGAATTCTACTTGGGAGGCTGAAGCAGGAGGATCACTAGGGGTTTGAGGCCAGCCTGGGCTACAAAATGAGTTCAAGTGCAGCCTGAACCACATACAAGACCATGTCTCAAAAAGATGAAAATAAGGGCCATGAATATAGCTCAGTGGCATAAGCATCTGCCTGGCAAGTGCAACATCATGAGTTCAATTCCTGGTACCAAAAAAAGAAAATAAAAATAAATTAAAAGGCCATTAAATAAATAAATCTTCTGTCATCCTTTTTAATCTTTATGCCTCTGATACTTTTTATTCTGTATCACCTGAGACCTCCAGAACAATGTTGAATAGAGGATGTAATAGTAGCCATGACTATTGACTTCTAAAGAAATGCCGCTCATGTGTCCCCATTTGGTTATAATTTCTGTGTAGTATTATTATCCACTATAGTATTTAAAATTTCATATTTATAACTAATTACATCAAATAAGAGTTTCAAAAAAACAAGGAAGTTCATAAAATACTAGTTTGAATTACTTGAATTATAGATACAATAGGTAGCTCAAGCCTATGCTTGATTATAATGTCTTTTAAAAGTCTTATTCTTGGCCAAGGATTTAGCTCAGCATCATAAGCACCTGCCTGGCAAACGTGAGGTTGTGAATTCAATCCCCGGTACCAAAAAAAAAAAGTAAAGGCTTACTCTTTTTAGTATAATAGTATTATAATTGTACATACTGGACTCTATTTAAATTAATTTGGCACATACAAACTACTAATAATGTTATATTGATACAGCCACTTAGGACATCTTTGCATTGATTACTAAGTTTTTTTGTAGCTCTTTCACATTTGAGTTGTAGTCTCTATATAGCGTTGTATTTGCTATATGAAAACTTATAAAATCAACTATGTTACAGAAAATAGGCTCAGTTTAATGTATATAAACTTGATAAAACTTCTGTACTAAATTTAAGCACAAGAAGGATAACTGTCCTTTTTTTAAAGTTTTATCTTAAAGTAATCATGGATTTGTTTGTAAAAGTCTATTTTATTGTTCATCTAAATAATACATTTTATTATTCTGAAAGTTGGAAAGATCTATAACCTTCACTCTAGCCCCTTATTTTATAAGTGAAGTTAACTGAAGTATTAAAAATATGGACTTATCCCAAGATAACACTGATACTATATAAGCTAATACTCATTTCCAGTTCTGTCCTTATAATAAAATTCGGATATCCCTGTAAGAGGGGGATATAATCCAGGTGTGGTGGCACACGCCTGTAATCCTTGAGGCTTGGGAGGCCAAGACAAGAGGATTGCTGTGACTTCAAGGCCAGCCTGCACATGCACATAGACCTTGGACCTTGCCTCAAAAAAACAAAAACAAACAAACGAAAATAGAAAGGGGACGGATAGAGGATTTACAAAAACAGAGAAAGAGAAAAGAATTAAGATATGTTATGTACACATACCAATTCCCCACAATAATGGTAGTATTTATGTACTCCAAACATGTTATTAATACGTATAATACATTGGTTGAGTTTGATATAATTTAAAGTGTTGATATATTGTGAACATTAAATTTTTTTTTTCCTAACAGGCAGGGTCTTAGACCTATTCCTGAAGCAGAAATTGGATTGGCAGTTATTTTCATGACTACAGAGAATTACTGTAATCCCCAGGGCCAGCCCCACACAGGTAATTAATGCATTATTTCAATAGTTCTTTAGCCATTTTGTTATGTAAATTGATAATAGACTGTATGCACTTTACAATTATATTTGCCAAGTATGACCATATTTACTTTCTTTCTAAAATCATGTCTTTATACATTTATTTACTTACTCAAGAAATACATCTGCTATATACCAAATATTACTCTGGGCATTGAAAATTCACTGGTGGATAAAGAAGATCCCAATTCTTGTGAATTTTATACACTGATGCTTAAGATTCAAACAGTAAGCAGATATACACAAAAGTTTGGGTACAAATAGAAAAGGAAAGGAAAGCGAGGTGAAATGATGGTGTCAGGATGCAGGCTCTTAGCCAGGTGGTCAGGGAGGGTCTGATATTTGAGCTTCATGCATCCTGAATGAGGGAAAAGGCAGATTTACGGTGATCTAGCATCATTTCTAGTAGAAGGCACAGGTCACTGTGTTGTGGAGAACAGACTGTAGGGGTCCAAATTGGAAGAGGTAATAGGAATAAAAAGCTATTTTGGAAGTATTCAGAGACAGCCACTATATCCTTGTATTGTGTTTGGTTCTTTGTGTCTTCATGTCCTACACAAACTACAGTTGCTTAAAAACACTTAGGGGGAAAAAATGGATCTATACCAAACATAATTTTTTTCTTATTCTTTAAATAATATAACTGTTTACTTAGTATTTACATGATATATTGCATAGTGTAAGTAGCAAGGAGATAATTTAATATATATTTGAAGACATGAAGTTATTTGCAAATATAATATTTTATATAAGGACTTGAACATCTGAGATTTGAGTATCTAAATGGTAGGAGAGTGATTCTGGAACCAGTAACCACTTGGATATTTAGGGATGAATATATTCTTACACCCTTTTTTTTAGAAGTAAGTTGATCTTGCTATTGCAAAGATTATTTTTTTCTTCCTTTTTTTTCAGTTCTAGAGATCAAATACAGGGCCTTGAGCAGGCTAAGAAAGTGCTGTTCAACTGAACTGCATCCTCACCACTTTTTAAGTTTTTACATTTTGAAACAAGATCTTGCCAAATTGCTCAAGCTAACCCGAGCTTGCATTCTTTTTGCCTCAACAAGCATATACCACCAAACCTGGCTTTGAAGTTTTCTGTCTTCTTCATGTTAGAGAGTTTTTACATTTATTTTTCATAGCAGATTTTCTCTTTCTTTGTGTACATACAAAACCATCTATTCTAGTCCTGTGCACATTTATTTGCTTCCTGAGTTTTTTATTTATTTCTTAGCATTTACTGGATTTTGGTTAGCAGAGATAAGTTAGAGAATGTCACTACTTTATTTTACTTTACAGTCCAGCAGTGTGTCTTCTGAGGGCTCTGCAAACTTGGGTTACATGGGTAAGGAATGTATTAATCTAGGTTTTGGAAAGAGTAAATTGTGGGGTTTGATTATGATTGCTACGATTACTAGTGCTATATGACTTACAGATGAATATGCAATGAGGGATTTTAGGTCTGTTTGGCGTAAACAGATTGAGCTGGTTGTGATTATACCTCATAGGGATAAGAGGATGAAGGGGTAAGCTATAAAGTTTGTTAGTGGGTCTAAAAGTTGAAGAATTCGTATTATGCCGTAGCCCCCAAGTTTCAGTAAGATGGCTGCTAGTAGTATTGAGCCTGCGATTGGAGCTTCAACGTGAGCTCTGGGGAGTCATAGGTGAAGCCCGTAAAGTGGTATTTTTATTATAAATGCTATAATGCACGCTAGCCATATTATATTGGCAGACCAAGTTGTAAGAGGGATCATACTGCTATAGTCGAATAGGAGGAAATTTATAGTTCCTAGTAGGTTTTGCAAATATACTAAAGCAATTAGTAAGGGAAGAGACCCAATTAGTGTATAAAATAGGAAATATAGGCCTGCTTTCATGCGCTCTGCTTGGTTTCCTCATCGGGTAATGATGATTAGGGTGGGAATTAGGGTTGTTTCAAATGAAATATAAAATATTATTTCCGTGGAGGAGAAAGTTATGATTAAGGAAATTTGAAGAAGAGCTATAAGGGTCAAATACATTTTTTTGCATGTCTCTGTTTCATTATTTAGGTGGTGTTGGCTGGCAATAATTATTAGTGGCGGGAGTCATGTTGTTAAGATGAGGAGGGGGAAGGAAAGTGAATCGGATGAAAAGTTTGTAGAATAATTTTGTCCAGTAGTGTCATTTGTTAATAGTTGGTAATTAGTGCAATTAGTAGACTACGCGATGTTGTATTAATTCATATTATTGATTTACTGGATAATCAGATGGTGGGAATAAGCATAATTGTGGGTATAATAATTTTTAGCATTGTAGTAGGTTTAGGTTTTGTACATAATCAATCCCATAGGTGTTAGAGATTATAACTAATAGTGCTAGGCCTACAGCTGCCTCACAGGCAGCAAACACTAATATGATAATTGGAATTGCGAAAGATAGTGGATAGTGGGAATTGAGTATGACAAGAGAACCAAAGATGAATGTTGAGAGTATCATGCCTTCTAGGCATAATAATGTTGATATTATGTGGGATCGGTAGAGTATTGTTCCTAAGAATGAGATGGTAAAGGCTATGATTAAATTGAAGTGGATTGATGACATCTTGGTAATTATGTGTTAAGCGTAATCTAATGAGTCGAAATCATTTGTTTTGGATTAAACTACCATATTTGGTTCATTCTAGGCCTTTTTGAGTTCATTCATAAACTAGGCCTAGTGTTAAGATTAAAATTAAGTGCAATTAATAGTATGAGGTTAAGATTGTTGATTTGAGATGCTCATAGAAGTGGGAGTAATAAGGCAATTTCTAGGTTGAATAGTAAAAATAAGGAAGAATTTCATTGAAAATAGTAGGTGTGCAGATTCTGTGGGCTCAAACCCACATTCATATGGACTAGTTTTTTCTATGTAAGTGTTTATTTGAGGCAGTCAGAACGCAATTGTGATTAATAGAAAGGTTAAGAAGCAGTTGGTTAGTAGAGAAATTATGATGTTAATTGCTTTCTCCCAGGTATGTCTGGGGCCTGCTGATTGGAAGTCGGCAATATTGTTTATACTAAGAAAGCGTGAGCCTCATCAGTAAATGGAGACATAAAGGAATAGTCATACTACATCTATGAAGTGTCAATATCAAGCAGCTGCTGCAAAGCAAAAATGGTGTTTAGATGTAAAATGGTAGAGTAGTGGACGGAAAAGACATACTAGAAGGAATGTTGACCCAATGATTACGTGTAGGCCGTGAAATCCTGTTGTAACGAAAAAGGTTGAACCATAAATTCCATCAGAAATAGAAAATGAGGCTTCATTTAGAGTCCAGTGACCAGAAATTGATCAGGCAGGTATATTATTAAAATCATTTTAATTTAACTTGCAAAATAGACCCTTTAAGACAGAGGATATCATATGCATTTAATATAGGAGGGAACTGGTGTTCAGAGAGATTAAGAAATTTGCCAGAGGTCACATATCAAGTAACTGATTCAAATTAACTCTTATAAATCAAAGCCATTGTGACATTACATTGCTTAATATTTTGATGCTAGCAGTTTTGAAAAATGATAATCTGGGATGATAGGGAGCATCAGAAATAAATGGACATCTGATTTAAAAATATGATAAGGTAGTAGTTTATTATTTGAATAAGAATGTTTAATATACCTATTCAGCTCAGTGGTAAAGTGCTTCCCTAGCATGCACAAGTGCCTGGGTTTGATCCCAAGCTCCACGAACACAGGGGAAAAAACAAAAGAGATGAAAATCAAAAGTATAATAAAAGTTTTTAAATGGTACCAAGATTGAGAAAACTTGGAGATTTATAACTACTTAAAGGCCATGCAAATCCTAAGCTATGGTTTTCTGAGTACCAAAGCAGTACTTTTTTCTAATGTATTATTTCATATAGAAGCAAGTTCATGAGAGTGAATAAAAATGTACATTGTAATTAATACCATTACTTTCACATATTCATAGGTAGATTTATGTGAGTTCCAAGTCATGCCTCTGACTTGATAATTTTATAATCACTTTTTTTTTTTTTTTTTGGCCTTTTCATTTTTACCGGTACCAGGGATCGAACTCATGACTGCCTGCTTGCAAGGCAGGCGCTTATGCCACTGAGCTAAATCCCCAGCCCCTTATAATCACTTTTGAGAGAACACAGTGAAAGTCTGTTTCCTTTCTTCCTTTCCCTTCTTCCTTTCCTTTTTATTTTTCATATTCATTCATTCATTTAGTATTTAATGAACATGTTACATAGCAATAATCATGCTGGAAATAAGGATGTGTATAGATCATGCCAAATTTCTCTGTTGATGGTATTTTTAGAAAGAAGAACATATGTAAATAATCAGTTGTTAAGAAATACTACTCCAGTTTTTCTGGGTCACTAGATTAGCTTTGTAAATGTTTCTTTTCAATGATTATTTTACAAATTCTCTGCAAAATTCTGTGGAGCTAAAATGAATTGTTAGAGATAATATTCCTTTAGGGAAATGTCTGTGCTTCTTGGGAAGTTAATGTCAGGATTCTGGTGAAAGTTATTTAAATATCTGAATTTAGAATTGGTAATAAACTTATTAAATATCTTCCATGTCGTTAGTACCTAATAGAGTGATAATGTGGCACAGGTACTTAGTGAATGTCAAGTTTTTAAGATTTTTCAGTTAACAATATAATTTTTAACTTAGTGATGTGTAGCAAATATTGACCTAAGCACTGAACATATAAAAACAAGAAATAATTTTTATTCTTTAGTCTAGCAAAGTTAAGTGTAACATAAAGTGAAGATACTGATAACAGCTAACACTGGCAAGGTACTTACTATGTTCCAGGCATTTTCCTGAGTTCCACCCATATGTCAGTTTATTTTATTCTCAAAACAACTTTGTGAAGAAGGTATTATAATTCTTCCCATTTTATAGATAAGGGAACTAAGGCATAGAGAAATTAAATGTTACAAGTCACAGAGCTAGTAATAAATGAATTTTACTACTGTAATTGGCAAAGTGCTATGCAGGCTGAAATGAGCACCTAATTCAGTGCAGACGTACTAGTCAGCTTCCCCATCTCAAGCACTAAATACCTGACACAATTTAAAGAAGCTCAGGTTTGGTTTGGTTCACAATTTCAAGGGTTTCAGTGCATGGTCAGCCAGCTCTAAGGCAGCATTATCATGGTAGAAGAAAGTGATAGAACAAAGCTGCTCATGTAATGTGTCCAGGAAGCAGAGCAGGGTAACAGTGCCAGAGAAGCGTGGGCCAAGGACCCAAGATAGTACCCAGGATCGTGGCTCCATGACTCACCCAGATACATTCAGAAATGTGCTTTACTGTCCCCCGGGGTGCTTCCAAGCCAATCAGGTTGAAACTTAACTGTCACAGCTTAACTGACAGTTAAACTTAACTGTCACAAAGAGGCTCAAAAAATATATCCTAAAAGAGAGGCACTTGAACTAAGATGCTATTCTAATAAGTAAATATGATTAAATAATCATGATTTACTAGAATAGTGGTATCGGGGCTGGAGGTTTAGCTCAGCGGCATAAGCACCTGCCTTGCAAGCAGGCGGTCGTGAGTTCGATCCCCGGTACCGATAAAAATGAAAAAAGACAAAAAAAAAAAAAAAATAGAATAGTGGTACATTCTAAAATGATACAATACGCCTTCGTTTCAAATAATATATTTCATAAAAGCCCATTGGTTGTGATTTGTGTGGATGTACTTTCTATGAGGAATAAATGTAAGTTTTTGGTATACTGCGTAAAACATCAATTGCATTAGAATTTAAGTGGGTTTTACTTTTATTAAAGCGCTAACATTTCACAGCAAAAAGTTGATGTATCTTTGAAATCCTTTGGTTTAGACAAGTCCATCATAGATGCTAACAGGCTACCATAGATGATTTTTTTTTTTTTTTTTTCTGTCTTTTTCCTTTTTATCGGTACCGGGGATTGAACTCACGACTGCCTGCTTGCAAGGCAGGCGCTTATGCCACTAAGCTAAATCCCCAGCCTCCATTATTGATTTTTTAAAGTATTGGTTAGCTCTGCTGACTGGAGACAACAATGAACTATGTTACTTAGCTCATATGAGTTATGTTGCTTTAATCCCCTCAGCATAGCACAGTCTTAACAGTTTTCAGTGATCAAATGTCCATAATGTTGAAGAGTTCTGATTTTTTTTCTTTTCATTTGTATAATTTGCAGGATTAAAGACAAGGACTCCAGAGCCAAGCCTTTCAGTAGGCTGGCCAGTCAGTGAAAAACTACAGCCCATTGCTCCTGTGAACACTACAACATATGTAGCTGACTCAGAATCGGACCAGGCAGATACATGGTAAAGCTCTTTGTTAATTAAGTATTGTTATTATTTTATCAATAAATTAACACTGTTTTCAAGAAGAAAAGACAGTATCTTTATCCACTCATCTCAGGAGATAAGGTATTGTTGAAAGGGTGTCAGAGAAAATAAAATCTTACAAGAGAGATCAGCAGATTTTCTGTAAAGAGCCAGTGAATAAATACTATGCTATTATGTACTCTTTGTCTCTGTCGTCACTACTTAATTTTGTAGCATGGAAATAGCCATAAATATCCTTTAATTGAGCAAGTGTGGCTATGTTCCAGTAAAATTTTGTTTACAAAAACATATGACTTAGGCTGGGAATTTAGCTCAGCAGCATAAGCGCCTGTCTTGCAAGCACATAGTCGTGAGTTCCATTCCCAGTGCCAAAACAAAAACAAAAACATATGACTTGTCTCATTTGATTTGTAGGCTGTAGTTATCCAGCTCTTGTTGTCTTAGGACTTTTTTTTCTTTTTTGGTACTTTATAAATATACATGGAAAAATAAAAAGAATTGTAGTACTTCATGTTGACTTGTGAAATAAATTGGAAATACAGTACACTCCAGTCAGTTGCAGTTCACTTGCTGTGGTTTTAGTTACCCATAGTAAACTGTGGTCCAGCAATGTTGAATGAAAAGCTCCCAAAATAAGCAATGCAGAAGTTTCGAATTGTACTGTGTGGATAGCATGATGATCCCTTGCCATCATTCCTTTGTTCATCTTGTCTAAGCTGTCATTGCTAGGTGTCTGTTACCACTAAAAGCTATTGCAATTAGCAGCTCAACTGTCCTTGGTATTTCAGTACATATGCTCAGGTAATCTTCACAGACATCCTAACACTGCATTATAGTGTCTGAATAATCTACCTCGTTTGCTTTCATCACTTATACCCTCTCACATCACAAGGAAAATGAGTATAGTACAGTAAAGTAATTGGAGAGAGAAACCACAATCACATAACTTCTGTTACGGTATAATGTTCTGTTGTTATCCTTGTTAATCTCTTCCCTAATGTTAAACTTTATCATGGATGTGTATGTATAGGAAAAAATGTGATGTGTATAGAGCTAAGTAGTGTCACTGGTTTCAGGCATCCGCTGGAGTTCTTGAAACATATGTCTCACAGTGGGGAAAGCTCTATATTTCTTATGTGATGCTGTCTGTATTTAAATATTACTTATAATTTTGGTGATGCTTTATAAGGTCTACCTAGTTGTCTAAATAGTATTTGTCAATGAGGATGATTTTTTAGTGGTTTTGTATTTTGAGAGGGGTTCTGTGTATTTTGTTTCTGCTTTTGTTTTTAATGGAAGGAGTTAGCTTTTTTGAGTTCTGTGTTTTTTTTTTTAATTTAAAGTGGTATATTTTATTTTAAATAGTCCATAGTGAAGTACTCATATTAAATTACTAAATGATGCCTCTACCCTAGACTGTAATTATTTTATTGTTTGCTATACTGATATTTTACATCGTAGTTAGGTTTAACTTTAAAGAGAAACAAGTAATGTTTTGGAAGTTACTTGAACAGCAGCTTTATCCCTGTGATTTTTCTTTATAGGTGTTCAGTCAGTTGAGTTTTTTTTTTGGGAAAGGATAACAAAGGTAGTATTTGTTCAAACAATGTTGTAAAAGTCTGTGTGTGGGAATTTTAAATATTTTTTTTCTAATAGTCTAAAACTGTGTACTAGAAAGTACTATCTGGCTAAATAATCTTACCAATTCATCCAAAATAATGTAAATACCACATTACATACGATACTGAATAACAAGAGTTGTTTTGATTCTTCATTTTTATTACATACGTTTAGATGGGAATAATTTAAAACTGTTAAATAGAAACAGAATTATCACCTAATCTATTACAGCTGTTTGATAGTTATTTGTAAGTGATGTATCTCTGTAGAGGATTAGGAAAGGTAAAGTATCATTCTTTGGGGCGTTTAGAGGACAAAGGATCTTCCTGGAATGATAAAATCTAGTTACTGATTTGTTATCTAAAGATGATCTTCTAAAGTTATGTTACATTAGAACTGTTGAAGGATCTTTGTTTCTGGATAAAAAGTGTTGCTAACTTGATTGTCCCCTTGGATTCTTTTATTACAGTATGTATTCCAGTGAAAAGTTAAAAGAAATAAAAATCTCCAAAATGGAACAAAAATTTGGAACATTTTCACAAGATACATCCAATATAAAAGACTCTCCCAAACCAAGCTCTAGTAGTAACATAAAATCAAATTCTCTAGTTAGGGTAAAAATCCAAAACTATGAGCTTTCACCAGCTAAATTCCCAAGTGTGACTAAAAGTAGAGGTCAAGCTTCTCAACAGCAGCAATCAAATACCATTAGAAACTACTTTCAACCATCTCCCAAAAAAAGGTATGTTTTAAGTAACTCCTCTACCATGTCTCTGCAAACTATTTGTATTTTTATATTGCTGCATAGTAGTAGTCTCCTTAGTCTGTTCTGTTTAAGTCCAAGGACGCATTCCTAAGAAATGTACCAGTCTACTCTTGCACTGAGACAATTGGACAGTTTTGCTTTTGTCTTTCAACTTAAACCTATTGTTTTATTTACTTCACTCTCTTGAAGAATTTACCGACATCCAAGTTCCGTAGTCAGCTTTCTGCCCATTTCCCTTGATCATCTTTCTCATGAGATGAAGTTACCTTATTCTCCTCTGTTACCACAAGTTCTTATCAGTCTCTGGTCAGTCCCTCTCTTGCCATCTATATCGGTTGCCATCTCCTTACTTCAAACTCTGATCACCTGAATTATTACAAAAACTTCACAGGTGGTCTTTCCATCCAGTACTCTATTAATAGAATATCACCTTTAATATTCCAGTTCAGCATGAATCCAGTAAACTAGAGAAAAGAAACTATATCCTCCTCTGTGGGTCTTAATGCAATTGATCCACTTCAGTAGTGTTCAATATGTACAGTATTGAATGAATGATACAGTCTTAGTGATATATTCACATAATATTTATAGTACACAGCTGATGCCATACTCTACGTTTAGCCACCTGGTTTATTTTCTTGAATCTAGCTTTCATTAATTCATTAATTAATTCATTAGGTTAATTTGTCCCTGCCCACAAGTTCTTTCTACACTATAAAGGAAGCTGTTGTCTCCTGGCAATAGGTCCTTTGTGCTTTTCTCCCTTTTCCTCCACATTGATTTTTCAGCTAATCCTATTTCAGAAAAGGTAAGAGTTCTCCATATTACTTTAACCAAAGGCACCATCAGTCTTATCCAAACAGTAGAAATATATGAATTTTGTACAGTGTTTAATTAATTTTTTAATTTAGTTTTTTCTTTTTTTGAATCAGAATCTCTCTGTATAGTTTAGACTGGTTTTGAACTCACTGTGTAGACCAGGCTGGCCTCAAACTCACAGTGATCCTCCTGCCACAGCCCTTTTGTATTTTGGATTATAGGCATGTACCACCATGCCTGGCTCTTCTGATGTTTGTTGATTTCCAGTGTAATCAATAAATTGAGTAGATTGAAAATTAAATGGAAGGGTGATAAATATTGTCAACTAAAAAACTTCCTTTCCTGTATGCATTTTCTGATTTTGTTTTCTTTTTTAAATTCAAGAGAAAGGGATGAAGAAAATCAAGAAATGTCTTCATCCAAAGCAGCAAGATTAGAAATGTCTTGTTCTCTTTTAGAGCAAACACAACCTTCTATAACCTCACAATGGAAAAACAAAGAACAAAATCTATCTCACAGTGAACCTATGGACACAAAATCAGAAAACTTATTTTCAGATGATATAGATTTAAAATCCAATGTGAAAAACTCTACCAGTAAATCTGTTTCTACAGAAAACTTGAGATCAAAGAAAAGAAAAGAAACTGATGTGGCCATAGAAGATAAACAGTTGGAGCAGTTATTCAAGAACCCAAGATCAGAGTTGGAAATTAAAGTGAAAGTTGAAAAACAAGAGGAAGACGTCAATGTCAGAAAAAAATCAAGGGTGGATACAGAAACAAATAAAAATTTTGATGATGAAATAATGCCAGAAAGTGACAAAACATCTGTAAGTAACATTTTCAATAAGTAATAATGCAAATAGAAACTTAGAATGTTAAAACATACTTAGAATTTTTTATTGAGTGTGAGCATCCATTTTGTCTAGTTGAGGAAAAAATGTCAACACCTAATATTAAGTATAAATTTGTTAGATAAGGTAAATGGGTATGAAATGCAGTGATTCTTTTTATTTATAACTATGCAAGGGGAACAGTGATTCTTTTAACAGTGTAAAATAGCATCACATAAAACTGCTGTACATGATAATTTTAATAGACTTCACCTAGGCTATACAATTATAAAAGATTTGGGCATCACAATAATGACAGGAGATGCTTTAATATAATCAATAGGCAGGGGGCTGGGGATTTAGCTCAGCTGTATAAGTGTCTGCCTGGCAAGTGCGACATTGTGAGTTCGATCCTTGGTACACACACACACAAAAAAAGAATAGACAGCAAAGTGAAATAAGTATAACTACTGTTTCTACTCTATAAATTTTTAAGATAAAAGTTTATATGATATCAGTAGGAATTTTTTGTTCTTTAATGTCCTATTTTCATAAATGTGGATTCCACTTTGGCTAAGAAAGCTTTTTGTCTTGTTTCTTGTTTCCTATTTTATTTATTAGTAAGTTGACCTACTATCTCTATTCTGGTTAGCTCATTAGATGAGAGCTTAGATAGGGTAAAGTCTCGAAAGTGTTCTGATCATCCAGCTGAACATGCCTATTATTCTGGCACTATGGGAGGCTAAGGCAAGAGAATAGTGAGATGGAGCCTAGCCTGGGCAACTAACTTCTATGTCAAAAAATTTTTTAAAAAATAAAAAGAGAACTGGTGATACAACTTAGTGCAGAGGCCCTCTGTTCAGTACCCAGTACTGCAAAAATAAAACATCTGATCCCCCACAATGAGCACTCTCATTGATGACAATGGTCACTCCCTCCTGAACAGCCACAGAAGAGGATAGGAGTAGGTGAAAGAGTAAAGACGAAATGACTGGAAATTAAAATTGATTCATTAAAGGAGTTGAGAATCTAGTGTATATCAAGCACTATGTAAATCTGTAACTGCTGTTGAAAAACAAAGACTATGACCTATCTTACCTATATATTGCTGTACAAGGAATCTTCATTATTTGTTACTTTATTTTATAGAATAAAAGTAAAATTTCATAACAGAATAGTGGGAGAATAACAACAGTTAATACATTGCATATTGTTATCTTTAAAGTAGTTATTCAGAGTACAAAATATGGCTATTAAAATTTTCTCCAGTCAATATTAGCACAAACTTTCCCTTTCAGTGAACTAGGAAAAACTGACTTGTTTTGTGTTTTTTTTCTTCCCCACAGGATCCATTGTGATTTCACCATTTTCATTCCTAGTTGCTTGAATTTGGGTCTTTTCTCTTTTTTGATAAGATTGTCTAGAAGTTTATGAATTTTAGTTAATCTGTCAAAGAACCAACTCTTTCAGCTTGGGCTACAAAGTGAGCTCAAGGCCAGCCTGAACTGCATAGCAATACCCTGCCTCAAAAAGACCCAAAAAAAAGGAACCAACTCTGATTCATTGATTCTTTATGTTTCCTTAGTCTCAATTGTATTAATTTCTGCTCTCATCTTTAAATTTCTTCTCTTATGTGAGGGAAGAAAGAGAAAACAGGTGTTGAGATACCAGTCCCATTTTGAAGCTAGAATGAGAACTTTAGAGGCACAGAATCGTCTTTTATGAAAGATTTAAGGATTATCTCATCTGTTTACAGAACAATTGATTGAAACAAGCAGATTTTGTGTCTTGTAACACAACTTCTTTAGCAGTGTCTTCTATAGCGGAGAGCTAAGTAACTCAGTTTAATGTTTTTCTTGCAATCCGAGAGGGATTTGATAGTTAATATTTGTATCTCTATAAAGCCATGTTTACTCTACATTATGAATTTATATTTTCACTTTGTCTGAAGACTATACTGTATTCTTTTCTAGGTTATTTAATATAAGCATTTAATCTTTAAAAAGTTTGGACTTACTTATATTATGTAATTTTGACCATGCAGTATTCGAGGGATTTAAAACAATTTTCTTTGTGGTACCTTTTTCTTTGATGTTTATTTCTAATTTTATGATCCATTTTTATTTGCTTCCTTTAGTCTCATCCTATTACATATTTAGACCTTCTTTTACTAGGCTTTTAACCTTTCCTTAAGTGTTCTTCCAGGTTGGCCACTTCTAGTGAATATACATCTGTGTGGTAGTGATTTTGGTTTTGGTAATGGAACTCTTTGCCTATCATGTATAACTGCTAATTGATGTTGCTGAGCAGTGCATGTTCTCCCAAAGCTTGTATCACAAGGTACTGGCCACTAGAAGGCAGGTTAGGGACAGACAAGAACCAAGCACTGCATACTCTTTAACATAGACAGTACTAAACAGCCTTTCGTGGGTCAGAAAAGACCTGTCATTTAATATCTGTGTTTTATATAGTGCATAATGATATCAGACAATATAATTATTTTATTTTTACAGTGTAATTTCTTTTATATTTATTTTACTACTTCAAAACTCACACATTAAGTGAAAAATACAGTACAAGCTAAGCACTATATTAGATGTTTGGAGAGCGATAGAAATTTGGTTATAATGTACTTGATGTGTTAAAAGTGAAATCACTAGTCCAGCACTAAATGCTCTTAGTAAGAATCTAGTTACAAAAGTGATTTACTTTTAGATTTTTAAATCTAAAAGATCTAAAAGATTTTTAAATGTTTTTATTTTGAGAAATTTCTAGTACACATGTAAAAAGTGATAAAAAGAGCCCATACCCTTTCATCTGAGTTCCCCTAATTACTAGGACAGCTTTTCCCCTAATTATTAGGACAGCTTGAATAACTATAGCATTATATTGCAACTAGGAAATGGACGCATATAATTAACCAACTTTTTCAATGGATTATTTTTAATTCCTTATTTTTATCATTATAAAATATATCTGAAAATCCTTGTGAATATGCATAGGTAAAAGAAAATAAGCCAGGAATTTGTTGATATTTCTACCACCACAGATGTTAATTAATACTTTTTTTTTTTTCTTTTTAAATTTTGTATTGCATTCTTTTGCAGTCTTTTAGTTTTTTTTGTTTGTTTTGGTGCTGGGAATTGAAGTCAGGACCTTGGACTTGCCAGGCAGGTGCTTATGTTGCTGAGCTATGTAAAAATGGACTCTGTAGCCATGTTTAATTCATACTGTTTTATCATATTGTTAGATATTAAATACATACGTATATGAAATTAGATGCCTACTAATTCTTTATTTCTGTACTTTACTAGAATATCTTTCTACTTTTATTTTTATATCATTTCTTTGGAAAAGATATTTCCTAAGAAAATCAGATATCTAGGTCAAAGGATAAATATCTGAATTTCATAGAAGATTTCATTATTAGTAACTCCTGTGAACAGTGTTTTTTATTTTATTTCTTTAGCAAGAAGGTGAAGTTGAGAAGAAATGTGACCTCAAAGAATTACAGTGGTCAACTAAAGAAATACCTGTGAGGAAATGTCTTACTTATTTGATTAATTTTTTTTTATTCTACAGATAACTATCCAAATATTTGATTAAATTTTTATAAAGATTTGATTTATAAGGATATTCATCTTACTAGTTTCTGTCATTTTTATTCTTAAATATTTCTTTGCTAACTTTGGTCTGTTTCATTGCTGTGCCTCTTCTAGGAATAAATAGGTCATAATTATAATCATTACAGAGTAAAAAGAGTGCAGAGAGATGCCTCAGTATAAAACCCTGCTCTCTACTGCATTGTTGGTGACCTTGAGAAAGTCATTTTCACATTTGTGAACCTCAAATGCTTTGTTTATAAAACAAGGTGAATGCTTTTCCAACAGCGTGGTTGTTTATGTCAAATACAGTAATGGTATGAAATATTTGTAAACTGCAAGATTTAGGCCATTTTTACTTTGAGTTCCTGATTATACTCTGTCACTATTAGATGAGTAGTTTCTTTTGGATTTTTTCTTTCTTTCCAGGCTGCATTTATTTTAAAAGTGTCAGCAAATCCCTGATGAGTTATATAGTTCAACATTAAAAGAATTAGAGGGTGAGACTTGAGCAACTGTAACAATTTTGATATGTACCCAATTAGATAGTAGTAAAGGATGTCAAACTACAAAGCTCATTGAGTAACTGAATGATAAGAAGGTAAACTACTTACTGACCAAGTTACAAAGTTAAAAATACAGTACTAGATTGAATGGGTTTTACCTTTTTTATTAATGAGTATATTGTTTTCAGAGATATGGAACACTTGACTTAATAAATTTCTAGTTTTATCAAACATACGATTTGATTCTAAATACAAAGTTCATGTACTAGAAATAAACCCTTGTAACTGTTCTTTTTAGATATTTGAACTTTTTTTCTGTAAAGCCCTAAATGACAAGTAATTTTCCTTTTCTTCTCTTTATCCATTTGAACTCCCTTTAAGAACAATGATGAACTTCAGGACAGCAGTGAGATGCTTCCAACAAAGGTGTTAATGACTGAATTTAGATCACTGGTGGTTAATAACCCCAGTCACAGAAATCTGTATGGAGTAAGTAATGATCATGGTCATCAACTAAAGAATTTCAAGAAATTCAAAAAGGTAGGTATTTCTTTAACTGTATCACAAGAGGGCAGTGTTTGAAATGGTTTTAGTACTACCATTGCCCTAGAATGGTAATGAAAGTGTTGAAAACCAGTACTATTTTTTTTCTTAAAATTGTTTTCAAAAATTACTGGAAAGATGTGCACTGACAGTTAATAAATATATGGGAATCTAGAATGAAACAGATTTTGCCAAGACTGAATTTTTTGTAGGTCACCATTTACTTGGTTTTCTCCACCCTAAACATTGAGTTTAAGATCATATGACAGTTCTGATATTGATCTGTGACTTCCTCAACAGGTCCTTCAGCTCAGTGCTTTATAAAGATAAAAGATTTGTTCAAAGTAACAACACATTTAATAAAGAAAATACAGGCATTTTCTGATTGCATGTACATGTAAAGCAAAATGTACATTGTACTCTGAGCATTACTGTTAGCTCTGAGTTCCTCCTCATCAAAGAAATGTTGGGATACTATTTTATCAGTGTGGCTAAAAGTATTTCTAACCCACTGTATTCATTTTTTAGTTTTCTCTGGGATATTGACTTCCTGCTGTAGACTACTATTAAGTGCTAGCCTTTGCTTATGCATTTGATCAGAGTACAATTATTATTTCAAAATTGATTTTTGTGGAATGCTACTTTCAGCATAACATGTACAAATTTTTGCTTTGACCATAAGGTGATATATCTTTTTTTGCTACTGTTTACTACTGTTTTACTATTATTATTTCTCAATTAAACTAGTTTTCTACCATTGCCTGGCACTGTGATACTTTTTTAACATTGCTTTCATATTTTACATTTGTGGCTCATAAATGACACACAGTTTTTACTGCACTGTTACATCATGTGTAATAATGTTAGAAAATGCCTTTGTTAAAAAATCAGAGTTCAAAAGACTTACTATTTTTATTGGTTAAGTTACCAAAGAAAAAGCAGTAATATGATTGGCACTGAAGCAGTATATTCTGAAGAATAAAGTACTGCAGATTGAAAATCTTTAAAAAATAAGGATACTCTAGAAATCTATTTTCAAGCTGTGTAAGAAATTCATTTGAAAATTTGTATGGAAAAAATTTTAAGATTGTCTCAAAGGAATTTTAATTTTTCTTTAAATTTCTAAATTAGAGACAACTCTTTTTGTATTTTTAAAATATTGCTTAATGTTAAAAACTAATTTGAAATTCCCTTTCCACTTCACATATTAAAACTTTGAAAGTATGTCCCCTACACATTTAAGGGTTTATTTATTCCCTCAATATGCTATTACCAGTGTGTTAGATACAAATCTTTACATACAAATTTCCTTTTTTTGTACCCTTCTGTAAAAAAATTAAAATGTCAGCTAAAAGTATAAATTTTTGTTGCCTCAACATCTGCTAAGGATTTGTAAGCTAGAAAGTTGAAAAAAACCTTAAATTTTCATCAGTACTAGAAAAAGCTTAAGCTTTGAAATCTTTTTTGAACAAAATGGAATACTTGAAATTATAATGTGGGGGCTAGGGATGTATAACTCAGCAGCACAGTGCCTGCCTAACAAGTACATGGTCCTGAGTTCAATTCCCAGTACCAAAAAAAAAGAAGAAGAAATAAATAAAAGATAAATTATAATGTGCATGCTCACTTTATTACTTTAACTGCTAGGTGATAAGCAGCAGCTATTTTAAAATGAAAACTATAAACTAAAACTCTTAAAGTCTTTTGTGTATAAATGTCAGTGACATTTCTGACCTAGTAACATCTAGAGAAGAAAAGGGCAAAAACAAATGGATCTAACAGAGTTACTTTTCTTATAGGATATGAACATGTTTGGCACTTATGTATGATTTATAATCTTTGTTTTTTAATTTAGTTTTTTAAATGATTATCTTAATTTGTTAATATGTTTAACCTCACTACTTTTGTTATTTAAAAGGTCGCATTTCCTGGAGCAGGTAAACTCCCACACATTATTGGAGGATCAGATCTCATAGCTTATCATGCTGGAAAGAATGCAGAATTAGAAGAATGGTTGAGACAGGAAATGGAGGTTAGTAAGAGATGAGGCCCACACGTGTTTGAATTACACTTTGCTTCTTTCTTAAAGCAAATTATTCTTAAGACCAAACTCATAGTAAGTGACCTAAGGTTATTATTAGTTAAGAACAATTTGCAGTTCCAGACACCAAGGTTGATCTGTATCTTCCCATAACGTTCCTTTAAGGTAATTTTACATTTATATAGTTAGTTAAAGGAATGTGTGGCTGTAGAGACTCATTCTGAGTGTACAGAAGTTTTAAAGGAAACTAAAGAATTATAACTAAAAGAGTGGCTATTTAATCACATGGAAGATACTGTAGATCTGTCAAGTGATACTCTGTAGGAGTAAACCAGCCTTTCTCAGTTTAGAAATTATGTTTCAACAATTCTAAATATTTTGTATTGTTTACTTGAAGATTACCCTTTCCTGTTTTCTCTTATTTTCTCTTTCTGGAATTCTAATTTGGCATAAATTAAATTTTTTCACTTTCCTTATTCTCTTTGTTTCTCTGGATTGTGCTTTTGGCAGTTTCTTCAGCTTGCCTACTAGTTTACTGCGTGCCTTCAACTCTGGTTACTGTTGCATTTATCTAGTGAGATTTTAATTTAACCTATTGTAATTTTTTTATTACTGGAAGTCTGTTCTCCTAAATCTTATTTCCTACTGATAATTTTGCTTAATGGTACTAGTACCTAATAGTACTTTTGGGAGGTTTTATGCTTTTATGGTATCTTATTTCTGCATTTATACTTTAAGGTCTTTAAATGTGAACTGTTTTCCTTGGAACATAATCTGTAAGATTTCCTTTATTTGAATTTTTTTTGTTTTTGTTGTTGTTTGTTGTTATTTTTTGGTGCCGGAGATCGAACTCATGACCTTGCACTTGCCAGGCAGTGCTTACACTGCTGAGCTAAATTCTCGACGCTATTTGACTTTTTTTTTTTTTTTGAGACAGGGTCTCACTGTGCCTCCAGCTCACACGGATCTTTTGCCTCAGCCTCCCAAGTGTTAATTGTCAGGGCAAGTGGAGAGGGGGTGTCTTTTCTTGTTTTTTGTTTGTTTTGTTTTATTTTGGGTGCTGGTGCTGGTATATGGGTGATTGAACTTAGGACTTACAGCATGCTAGGCAAGCACTCTACACTGAGCTACACCCTCTATTTTAAATTCTTTTTTTCTTTTTCATTCTTTTTTTGTAATTTTGTGGATTTTCCAGGTAGTTAGTATGTCCATGGAACAGAGTGGGTTACAGCCAGCCTGTTGTTACAAGCTTCAAATATAATTTTTAATTTTTTCCTTTACCAAGTGCCAAAATTGAGATAGGCAAATTTGCTATTTCCTTCTGTGTTCTCCTTCTCCTTTTGGAAGAGTCCTTGCCTAGGCTTTTGTTTCATATCAGTAATACTTGTAACATCAAAAGAAAATGCAGATTTTTCATGGTTTACAGATATCTGTAAGGCAGGGCAAAAGCTAACTATGATACTTTCTAATGCCTCAGGGTTCCTTATTTTGTTGCATCGTAAGTATAGTGTGTGCTTCAGCAGTTCATTTCAGAAAATACTTTGTAATCAGGACTGTGGAGCAGATGCAGAGATGGAAATAAGGGTTATTAGGAAATCTTTTATTAAAGTAGGGATGTTAGGAAATTTACAGTCAAAATGAAAGACTGAAGTCATATCCTCTCTTGTCTGTTTTGAAAGAAGAATTGGCTTTATCTTATGAATATACATTCCAGAGAATTGTGACAGTACACAGAAGAAAAAAGAAGCCCCAAAACTAACTGATTAAACATTAAGTGAACGATTTTCCGGTATCTCTGCTGAGAGCCGTGAGGTAGAGACAGACTTGGGAGAGAAAGAGTGAGATTGATAGCAAGAAGTAAAACTGAAGGTGTTGCTAGATTTGTATACCTTCTTCTTCCCTCCGAGGTATGTTATTTCTTGAGATCCCTCCAAGATGCAGGGTGGAAATAGGAAAAAACTTGATTAGAATCAGTTTTTATTTTAAACCATATATTTTAATTATACATACTGTTTGTTTCCCTTCTGAAAAGAGTAAGGATATTATTTGTACTTCCTCTCCTCCCTCACTTTATGACTGTCCTGTTTTTCCCATCTGTAGAGAACCTACATTGTCAAAATATATGAGTGTGATCAATGTGATGACTTTAATTTTTTTCATTAACTACAGTGAAAGACACATGGCCAGTAACTCCCCTCAAAATACTCCCTGCACACTCTGAACACACTTACCTCATCATGCTTGCCTCTTTTTGAAGCACTCTGAACACCTTTTTTTCCCTGTGTCTTTAATTGTACTGGTGTGACTGCATTGATACTCTGAAACAATTCAAAACATTTACCTTTTATTGACATTTTGACTTTTATGATCCAGAAGTTACACACTGCCTGATCCAGTGAATAAGATGGGTGACGAAACACTGTGATCAAAAATCACAGTGATTGTTTAAATTTAAAATTTACTATAATAAAAGACTGTCGTTAATGCTCCTCAGAATACTCAAAGTACTTCTTCCCCTAGAACACACCCTGTCATTCATGGCAATGTCTTTAGCTGTATTTTTTTTTTTTTTTAATTTAAGCCTTCGCCATATCTTTCAGTCACACCTTAAGTACTAATGTGATTATTCCCATTCATTTTTCCTGAAATCCTATAAGCTATTTTGTATTTCAGGTGCAGTTCTTGCCATTTCAAGAAACTTTTCCATTATATATTTTAAACCCTTTCTTGAGAAATCCACTTTCTTGAGTCTCTACATTTAAGGTATAACCATCTTTCTTTTGGCTCACCTCTACTTTTTTTCCTATATTCACTGTACTTTTCCTAATTTTGGTCATGTCAGACAGTATTATCTCCGTTGTATTTGTTCTTCATACCTAAATATATGACACTTTGCAAATTATCTCACTTCACACATTTTTTCCTCCTGTGCAGAATGAGAACCATGCCAAATCGATTCAGATTTATAGGCATTAAATACTACAGGGAGAGCATCCCTAATAAGAGATCCAGAACACTCTGAAACCTAAAACTTTTTGAGGACCAAGATGGTACCACAAATGGAAGATTACGCACTTTAAAACTTCTTTCATGCATGAAATTATTTAATATATTTTATTAAATTACCTTCAGGCTATGTTATAAGATGTATATGAAACATTGAAATACAAATGAACTTTATGTTTAGATTTATCTCCTACCCACAAGACAGTTTCATGTATGTCTATATAAATATTCTGAAATCCAAAGTCTGAATAATTGGTTTCTAAGCATTAGGATACTCATCTGTACTTTGAATAGTGGAAACAGTATACTTGTTTGTAATTAATTTAGTTCTAAAACTGTGGTTTTTATGATCCTCACTTTATTTAAAATTTGTTCCCTTTTCTGTTCCCTTTTTATTTTGAGTTGCTTCAGTGGAGCACTTCATTATACATTTACCACAAGCAAATGTTTAATTTGTTAATTTTGACAGGTACAAAAGCAACATGCAAAGGAAGAGTCTCTTGCTGATGATCTCTTTAGGTAAAAGTTGATTTCAGCTTTTTTTATGTACTTTTGAGAGATGTGTACATAATTTGGGTTCTTTTCTTACATGTTAGACATTTGTTTCTTCTATCCTTGTAGTTGATCTCTAGTCCCTTTAATGGAAGCATGTTTTGTTTTTAATATTTTTGTGTTTTTATTACCTGTGCAACTCTTAACTGGATTCCTATACATAGCTTCAAGGTTTAAGGTTTGACTCAGTTGTGTCACATAAGATGCTTAAAATTTGGAAAGGGGCATTTTGGGGGAAAAAAAAAATCCTAAATTGGGTGAACTTGACCTGTAAATTTGTGAGATTTTTAAGTTCTGATTAGAATTGTGAATGAATTGACTTTTAATTCAAACAAGTAAAATGCCAGGCCATTTGTTCAGATTTAATAAACACGTGCATAAAAATAAAAGGTTAGGTTAAAGTTTTAAAGCAAGTTTTTGTGGGAATTTTTAGTGCAATTGTAAAGAAAAATTATAATTTAATTCTGATTTAACACATTTTCAACAGACCTTACAGTAATTGTCTCTCAAATATTAATGAATTTTTGAAAATTAACAAAACGCCATTAGAGATAAATATAAGACAGTAATATTTTTCCAGACTTAAAGAAGTACGATAGTTTTAAGTATTTTCTATGTGTTTGTTTCAATAGCACATATACTAATATTTTCCAGCCAAATTTTTATTCTCTACTACCAGTATAAAGTTTTGATGAAAACATTGAAAGAAAATACAGAATTTTTAAATTTTTAAAATTTTTATTGTTTTTAGATAGAGTCTCAATGTGTAGCCAGGCTGGCCTTAAATTCACTTTGTAACCCAGGTTGTCCTTGAACTCCTGGCAAGTCTCCTGCCTTAGCTGAGTGCTTGTATTACAAGCGTGTACCACCACACCCCACCCTTATTTTTTATAAGTAGTCAAATGAGACTGTCTGGCTGCCCACTTATATTTGTTTAATTGTATAATTGTTTAATTGAAAATTTTGTAAATTATTGTTACTTTAGCTTTGTTGTGATTTCTTATGTAAAGATATACTTTAATTTGGGGTATGGAGTGGCATTAGGAGCTATATAAAATCACACTCAGTTTTTAAGCTTTTGTTTTAATTATTGTGGTGCTTTATGCAATTTTTGTTGATCATGTTTTGTTTTTATCAGATTCATAAAAAATATCAAGGGAGAGCAGTGGTACCTCGGTTCATGAATTTAATTTGTTCTATGATTTTGGGAAAGATGGTCAGCCACGTTTGTGTTTTTGTGGGAAAGATGTCTGCATTTGTGTATCAGTCTTGTCACATGATCCATAGTTTTCAAAAAAAAACAGCTTTGCCAAACACGTCTGTCTGAGGACCAAATTGTTTGCAGACAAAATCATTCAGTGAGCTGAGGTACCACTGTAAATGAAAATACAGAATTGCCAGTGTTTATTTATCTGAGTCTGAGGACAAAATTTGCTTTCTCATTGTTTCCTAAAGTGTGACTTTTACAAATAAAAGAAACAAAAAGCTCATGTCTAAATGTCATTTAACCCCATTTTTTATTTGCAGATATAATCCTAATGTAAAAAGGAGAAGATAATTAAGAACTTTAAAAAAAAAGCACAAAAACCAACTTCCCAGCAAACATTTACTTCAGGCTGAGATACATGAACACAGAGTATGAAAGTTTTTACAACCAAATTTGTTAAATAAAATGCACGAAACTCTGTTTCTTTTGTGTGTGGTAGTGAATATTTTTGTTCCATTTTTAGTCTTTGTTATCACTTGTGATCAACATTTTTTCGCTTTTAATTAAGTCTCCCTTCTACCACTCTCCTGTATTGTTCTCTGCAGAAAAAAAATCTGTGGTGCTCATTTCTTGTCTCTTACCAGAGTTTTGATTCTTATTCAAATTCCCACATATATCATTTTTTTAGTAATTCTCTGTACAAATGATAGCATAGCACAGGCAGTGTTCAGCACCTTGTGTTTTTTTTTTTTTTCATGTAATAGGAAGTTCATAGGAATATTAACATTTTTTTTTTCTTTCCAGCATGCTGTAGTTTATCTAAACTGATGTGTCCCAAATGGAATGGCTTCAGTTAAGAACATTACGCTAATGCTAGAAACTGAAAACAGTATGAAACACTTCATTAAACTTGTAGCTGGATCTCTTCAGAATGGAGATACCTTGAGTCATGTAGGGTTCACTAGAAGAGTGTAGAAGAACAGAGAAAAAAAGTGTGTGTGTGTGTGTGTGTGTGTGTGTGTGTGTGTGTGTGTATGTGTGTGTGTGTGTGGCCACCTGCAGAGTCAGGTGTGGAAGAAATCTAAAGGGCCACTGACACTGCAGAGCTGGAAGAGCTAGTCAAAACCAGTAGCTCCAGTTGTGAGTTCGAGACCAATTTGGGCTACAAAGTGAGCTAAAGGCCAGCCTGAACTGCATAGCAAGACCCCGTCTCAAAAAAGACCAAAAAAATTGTATTATTAATCTACAGACTAATGATGTATCATATCCCATAAAGTACAGTAAGTTTTCTATACTGACTGAAAACATCTGGTCCATGTAAGTTCTGCCACCCTATCTTTTTTAGGTGGTTACTATTTTTATAACCCTATCTTTTGCAGATGAGTAGAACATAACATGAAAAATTATAGCACAAGTTAATTGTATAGTTACCGGATCTTCATGGAAGATTCAGTATCCTCTTGTACACAAAAAAACTGCATGTGAGTACTGTATTTGGCTAAGATACTTTGAACCTTCACCTAGTCTCAAACACTATTTCTGTTTGTGGAAATAGTCTACAAACATCATAGGCTTTTGTTTCCTTGTTTGTTTTATTTTCACTAATATAGTTTGAAATTCTTTGTTTACAAAGCATTATTAAATATATATATGAAGCATTGCCCTCCACAAAGCTTTGATGGAATCCTTTGATGAGTAAGGGTTTCTGTAAAGGTATCTGCTTTGGGAACTGACTGTTGAAGAAGTTCCCTCTTAAGTTTTATATATATCTAATATACTATGTTTTCATTCTGTTTGTTTCAGTACTAGGAATTGGAACTTGTCCCCACATGTTCAGCAAGCATGCTAGTGCTGAATCTCTTTGCCACTGTTTCAAAAATTTTATTTTAAGGAGAGCTATTAGACTTTGGGTGAGAAAAGAGTAAGGTACTTCAGAGGAAACCTGACGCATGAATGAGGCAGCTCAGGGATCCAGAGACCTTAAATCTTGTCAAAGCCATGTATGCCTGCAACAAACTATACCCAAGGATTCTATGCCTTGATTGCAGCTTACTCAGTTTTGTTTCTCGGCACGGAAAGTAGAGGTACCAGCCACCTGATCATAACTGAAGCCAATACCTGAGAAGAGAAGGTAAGTCCAGAGGGCTGGCAACTGCATCAAGTGCTACCCCAAGAAAAGCCCATGGTGTTGTAAAATAATACATTTTTACAACAAATAGTCTTACGTACTATGGGCTAGAGTTAGAAAAGAAGTCCAGTGCAGTGCCTGCCATATTTCAGAGGGTTTAATCAGAGCCATCTGGGAAATAGCTTAATAGTTAGATTAAGCCACAGAGCCACTTTTGAGTTTCCAGTGTTACCTTGTCACAGTGACTGTGTAAGAGATAGTCATGAACATGGTGCAGGTAGACACAGATCCCCTGCGTCGTTTAAATTCAGGCAGAAAAGGGCACAGGGCCCCTTCCCTCTATGATGAGAAGCCAGGCAAGACTGATTTTGCAAGCTGACTAAGTGCTGATTTTAAGTTCACTGGTCTGCTTGAACCCCCACCCTATTTCCGTCATCTAGCACAGAGGTAAGTGGTCCGACTGCTTTCCCACTTACCAATATGAGCAACCACGTGCCTCAGTTTGCCATACACATCCTGGCTGTATGGACAAAGGGGCTGTAGATGGGGGCGGGGCTCACACACCCACAGCCATAAAACTAGGTAGAGAAAACAGTAGCTTGCAGAAGGCGAAGCTGCAGCCACTGGAAAGAAAACAAAAATGCAGAGGAATTTTTTGGGTTTTTTTCTGCATTATTTTTGGGAAAAGAGTGGGCTCTTTTCTCTTTTTTCCTTTATTTTCCTATTTTTTTCTCCTTTTTATTTTTTCCTTTTTTTCTTGTTTTCTGTTACTTTTATCTCATTCTATTAACCTTTTACTCCTCAGTAGGATCCTGTCTCGTTTTTCTCTCATCTTCTATTGCTTATTTTTTCCAATTTTATTCTATTCACCACCCCATCAGCACAAACATCAAGCTTTATTAATCTTTAGACAGTTAACTGTATGCTATTACTCTGAATTTTCTATTTTTACTAGAACTGTAGTTGTTGAATTCAGATATTTATTGTACGTCAGAATTTGTTTACACTATAATTATACATCTTTTCCACAATTAAGGATGGTACATTATTCAGATTTATAGTACATCAATATCCAATCTGTCTTTGATGGTATTATTTCTGATTTTGTACCAGGGTAGCCTAATAGTTGCTATAAATGATCTTCTCTGCAGATATTGGTCTGCCAATATCTGGACTGCCTTTGCCATTAAAAATAGTGCAGTCACTGGGGATATAGCTCAGAGGCAAAATGCCTGCTTGGCAAGCATGAGGTCATGAGTTCAATCCCCAGTACAAAAAGATAGTGCAGTCCATTTGAGTAAGAACTACCTTGCAAGTCTGTAAATTTTGGGTTTGTCTGTAGATGACTGAGATGTAGAGGGGACAGAAGACTCACCTTGAACGTAAATGGCAGCAATCAATACATGTGCCACTTGAATGGAATAAAAAGGGAAAGAAGAAGGAAGTATTTTCCCCTTTCTTCAGAGAAGCCCTGCTGGTCTCCAGTTCCTTTAGAGTTCTAGAGCAGTCTCTAGGCTTCCAAAGTGTACTCTTAGGTTTTCCAACAAACTCACAGCAGTGACTGTACCGTAAAATTTCTGGCCTTCAAACTTTGACTGCTCCTAGAGGCTCCATCTCTCCAGCACACAGGTGGCCAGATTGGTCTCCTGGCTCTGATCCAGCAGTCAGATTCTGATTCTGATCCTATAATCCTACTTAAATCCTTCATGTAATCATATGTATATTTTATACTGAATCTGTTCACTTAGAGCCTAATACAGATTGTAAGTGGAGCTTTTACTTTGATTCTGCCAGACCATGTGGCACAGGAGCCTCTATGGGAATACCTTAGAAAGGCTTGGAGATGCTGGGTAGAGGTGCCACACAATGCTGTAAGCTGAGCATGACACCTAGTCAGAGCTCAGAAGACCAGAATGTTGGCAGTAATGCAGATAAGTAAAGCCAGGGGTCAGGTTCCCAAGGTTTAAGTTAGGAACATGAACTCTAATGGCAGTTACATTTGGAATTACCAGAAAATTTGTCTTGTCTTTGCGCGTGTCCTAGACTTTGAAAGAGAGATTAAGGGAGGTAAACTAATAGAGGAAATTTCAAGGCAGTAGGCTATGGCATGGGTACTGCTGTTGGACTTCAGCCAAAATCAAGAACAAACTGCATAGCTGAATAATTTAAAAAGTTTTGAGACTGATCAAAATATCTGAGAAGCTGATGCCTTAAAGAGCAAAACTGTTGAAAACATTAAAAACAGAAGCTAAAAGCCAAGACATGGTGACACTTGGTAATTCCAGCACTCAGGAGGTTGAAGCAGGAAGATCATTGTGAGTTCAAGACCAGCCTAGGTTACAAAGTGAGCTCAAGGCCAGCCTGAACTGCATAGCAAGTTTGTCTCATAAAGACAATAATAATTAAAAAGATAAGCCAAGTACTTTCAATAAGAACAATATACCTTGAAGGCATCTCAGAAATCAGCAAGACTCCATCCTTCACTGGCTCAGGGGTACAAAACAGTAAAGGTAAACTTTGTTGTTTTTTGAGACAGGGTCTGGCTATGTAGTGCCAGCTGGCCTTGAACTTTTTTAGTCCAAGTTGGCCTCAAACTCACAGTGATCTTCCTGCCTTAGCTGAGTGCTGGGATTACAGGTGTGTGTCACCACACCCAGTTTAGATAAACATTTAAGGAAATTTTTATTTGTGAGCCTCAGGATACCCGACTCTAGAAGGGCCACCTAGAGAACTGATTCTCCAGATCTAGTTTATACTCCTCAGCCAGCCAGGCACTTGGAAGCCTTGTAGCCACAAGTCAGGCAGCCCTGGCTACCACTCCAAGTGGTAGCAAATCTTGTCACTCATCTGGTGCTGGTTTGACAGGAGTGCAGAATGCAAAATTTGTGGAACAGGGAGACTTCCACCCAGATTTTAGATAGCCTGGGAGGTCAGCCAGTGTGCCCCTGAGAGGCCAGTGCATGAAGCTGTGAGAGTGAAGCTGAAAGTGCAGTTGAGGCCCCAGCAATTTGGAGGATGCAGGCATGTGGAACATTCAGTGAAGAAAGAGACACTGAGCAGAGCCTACCCAAGAAGGCCATGAGAGCTGCAATCCACCATGCCATGGAGATGGGGCCTTCCAAACTGTTTAGTTCATGTGTCATTGTAAATTGCCCTGTGTGCTGAATACAGAGCTACAGATTTAATGTTTGCCTTCTTGGGTCTTGGTTTTACTTTGGTCCCATTACTTTGTACCCTACTATTTCTCCCCTTTGCAATAGGAATGTTTATCCTGTGTCATTGTATGTCAGCAGTGTTCAACTTTTGTATTTCTATAGTAGCTTTCAGCAGAGTTTGCTTTGAGTCTTAGAGGAAAGTGGGCTTTTTGACAATGCTGGAACTGTTAAAACTTAGCAAAATCTTAGAGATGGACTAAAGGATTTTTGCATAAAGAGATGTGCATATGTCTTTTGGGAATCAGGGATGGAATGTTATAGTTGAGCCATAGAAAGAATATCTCCCAAAGGCAATGGGTTCAGTTTGCCCTTTAAGAAAATGATTGGATTATGGGGACTAGATCTAGCATAGTCTCTTGGGAAGTAGGGCCTGGTTAGAAGAGGGCTCTCTGAGGGTATGACCTGCAAGGGTGTATCCCCTTCCCTGGCTCCTTTCTGAGCTCTGCTTCCTGACTAGCATAGCATGAGCAACTTTCGCTTGCCCAGGCCCTTTCTCCATGTCATCTTTTGAGATTGCTGAACATAGCCTGGAACTTCCAAAACTAGGAGTCAAAATAAATCTCGTGTCAGGTGTTTTATCCTAGTGACAAGGAAAGTGATTAAGACAGTTCTCTTTATCTTCAGTGTCTATTTTTTCTTTTGAGACAGGGTCTTACTGGGTAGTCCAGGCTGCCCTTGAACTTGTGATGATCCTTTTGCCTCAGCCTGGTGAGTGCTATGCTAGAATTATAGGTGTATAACACCTTGCCAGGCTTCAGTGTTCTTTATGTTAAGATCATTCAGTGAAGTCTTCATTTAAGAATGTTTTCAGCAGGTTGTGGTGGCACATACCTGTAATTCCAGCTATTAGGAGGCAGAGACAGGTGGACTGCTGAGAGTTTGAGGCCAGCCTGGGCTACAAAGTGAGCTCAAAGCCAGCCTGAAATCAAAGACAAATCAGCTATAGAATGTTTTAAGTATTTTGAGACTTCACTCATATACTGTCAATATTTTGGAATATCTATTAACTATTTAAAAGTAATTGCTCTTTCTAACATCTGCATGGTTTTCAGTTCTGCTTTGATTTTCTTTCTCTCCTGGTTGTAATATTTTGTCTGCACACCTATTAATTTTACTATTGCTGAACATTGTGGCTGTGGGTTTGTCTTTTTCCTTTTTATCGGTACTGGGGATCGAACTCACTACTGCCTGCTTGCAAGTCAGGCACTTATGCCACTGAACTAACCCTCCAGCCCCTATCTTTTTTATTTTATTTTATTTTTTTTTTTTTGGTCTGGGTTTGTCTTTAAAAAGCATTGTTTCATGTGGGCTATTTTCTGGCAAGTCTTGCTCCATTGGCTGGCTAGAACTCCAATGCCTTCTAGAACTGTATACCTCAGTATCTCCTATTTGGAACCTACTTTATGGTTGCTGATCTCTGCAGGCCTCAGAATTTTCACTGACTTCAGGAAATCCTTATGCTAATTTCTGGACAGTCTCTGTGCAGCTTATTCCTCTGGAATACCCTGCCTTACAAATTCCCACAGGAATGTTTTCTCCTACCCAAATCCATTAGTTTACAAGGTGCCCTGAGGGCAAAGGGCAAGATGATTATTGAAAGAGATCCTCTTTTGGTTCTTAAAATTGTCTTGGACTGCTATGCTTTGATACTGGTTTTTACTTTTTAACCTAACCCTGGGGACCTTGCCCCTTTCCCCCTCTACTATATTCAGTAGTTAAAAAAAAAAAAAACTGACATGATCAAAATGGCTTTATGAAAACGGTGTCCTGTAATCAAGTTAAATTTTTAAGTATTTAAATTTACTCTAATATTTAAATTTATTTTATCCTTAGGATGTTCCAGAAATGCGAACACAATAGGACTTGCTTTTTATTTAATCACAGGATTCAGAATTTTGCACCATTTCCTTACTAAATATTTCAAAATACTTTTCAGACTTAAAAAAAACAAAAAGTTTTAACTAAAACCTAACGCCATGGAAACATCAGTTTCTTAAACTTTGTAAATAAAACTTGGGTTAGGCTCACATACTCAGGATGCCAAACACTAAAAGCACTGAAAATCTGATTTTATCGTATGCCTATTTATAAACATTCTTTCAACACATATTAAGTATGATCTGCATATTGCAAACTAGGAGGAAGAGGAAGGTGTTTGCTTACCCTATAAATAATCAAGTATTCAGAAACTTTAATGCTAATACAATGAAAAAACTGCAATTATAGGGTAAAAAATAATACAGTGCTGTAAATCAGAGAAATGCCTTGCATGTCACATGCTACATAGGATAGCTAGCACTGAGGGAGACTTGGAAAGCTATAGGTTATCAGAGAGGAAGTTATCTGTCTTGTTTAGACTTTGATTCCCTTTTTTTTTTTTTAACTGAATACTCCATAAAAATGCTATTGGCTGAGCTGAAGCAGACTTTTGAGATAAACAGAGATTTGTTGGGTCTTAAATATTCTCTAGAAACTGTTATAGCCTAGTTATAACCATTGCACCTCACTTCTGTTTTGAATGCGCCGCTCAGCCCCCCCTCCCCACTCGCTTCCCTTCCTATCTTTCTGGGTTAAGTTTCAATTTCCTGAGAAAGCTGTAAAAGCCTTAGGTATCAGTTTCCTGTAACCCCCTCCCCTACCCCTCATCCAGCTATCTGTAATAAAATGTGCTGTTCTTTAAGAAATGCTTAACTTCAAGGAAATTACAGGAAGTTCTGTAAGGCCCAGGTGCTATCTAACGGGGTCAAAGTTTGCAACATTCGTGTGGTTTTTGGCTTTAAAACCCAACCTTTCTAGCTGTAAGGGGCACAGTCTCCAAATTGGCTTCCGGGGATTGCATCACCAAGGCCTGGCCTAAAATAAAGCCTTTGCTCCCCAAATTTTAATTTCTTGCTTCCTTGGGTTTTATTCCAGGGTCCGAACTATCACAGAAACCATGTTTATAATCTTACCATTTTCAATTTAGAAGTGACATGAAAAGTATCCAAGAGTTCAAAAACAAGAAAGCAAAACTACAGGGTCAAGTATAGTAATAATAATATGTCATACCATTTCTGTAAGATGTGAGATCAAGACCAAAAAAAAATATTCAGAAAAAAAAATTATATTTGGGGCTGAGGATTTTTAGCTCAGCGGCATAAGTGCCTGCCTTGCAAGCAGGCAGTCATGAGTTCGATCCCTGGTACCGATAAAAAAAAAAAAAACGAAAAAGACCAAAAAAAAAAAATATTCAGAAGATGTGAGATCAATTTGAGAAAGAGGAAACTAAAACTGGATCACAGTCTATAAAATCACACTAATCAGGTTTGACATTTACCAAATGTCTAAGAATTCACTTCAGTGATTGGTGATGGAGCAAACACACTCTAAACAACTATATTTAAAGTGAATTGTGATCCTAGTAAACCAGCACATAGCACTGCAAGATAATGGAGAGAAAAATACTGATAATTGTCCACTATCTTTAATTCTAAAAACAGAACTAGAAGTTCAGTGAGCACATTCCAGGTGAAGTAACTAGTGATGAGGGGGCTGAAAATGTGTTTCCAAAGCAAACTTCAGAAGACCTTTCTAACAAAAATTCTGAGCATTTGTATAGAAATAGACATTAAGCACAATAAATTTGAATGTAGAGCAGATAAACCCAAAAAAGCAGGGGAAATGGAAAAAGGGAAAAGATTATATGTATACAATTATACATACTTATGTATAAATATACACACAGTAATCTCTGAATTCATCAGTCTGTGCTTTCATTGATCATTTTTATGCCTAAATTTTGTAATCTGAAAAACTTCTTACAATATGCAATATATTAACTACTGTTAATTTTCTTTTTTAAAAAATTCTGTATCATTCTATCCTTTTTTTAAAAAAACATGGTTTGAGCTGCTGTTATCATCACTGAACAAATAGTATTACAGATCTCTAATCACTCTGGAATGGAAATGAAAATTTTAATTTTACATTCTACATTAAGCTTTAATTCTGCTAATACTCCAAATAATGTTACAACTTTAGAAATACCTTCCATGCCCACATCTTGGCTTCAGTGACATTAACTCAAATGTTCACACGGTGATAAGTAGTTTCATCCACAATTTATTGAGTTGCAAATCAGATTAAATAGATGTTATGATGGTTAAGGAGAGAATAAACCTCTGAAAAATATCTTGGCGCGTTCCTGGATGTCACAGTATATAGCAACATTGGAATGTTTAAATTATTAGAAATTAAGAATATGAAGTATCTGTCAAGGTTTCAACAATAAAAATACTTTTAAAAGGCCATCATATTTGGTAATAAATTAATTTATATAAGTGATAATTTCAAAATAAATAAGACCTGAGTCAAAAATGCCTCCTATCCTTATCCCACCCCAGCATACTTAATATCCCATTATCATTTAAATCAGTGTCCCTGAAATTTTAATGAGCAAATCTAACCCTTGGGGATCTTTTCAGAATGCAGTTTCTGATTATACTGTGGGGCCTGGGGAGTATCTACATGTCTAACAAACAAAAGCTGATGCTACTGGTCTTTTTATATTTTTTGAGAAGCAAGGTTGCCTAATGTAGTAAGGACAACTTCTGGTCTAATAACTTTTATCATTTTTATAGATTTCACGCTGTAATATTTTAGAATCAAAAATAATAACAAAAAATAACCACAAAAGTAAGTCTTGGAAGAAAAAGAATGCTTAAGAGAGAGCTTAAAGTATAACGAGTTGGCAGTGTTTGTATTTGTCTGACAGTGACATTTTTGATACAATATAAATCAGGACACCGAGTTCTGATAACCATAAAAAAATGAAGTTACTGTATCATGAGGCTCTCCTCCAGTTAATTCAAGTCCAGAAAATTTAAGCCAGTACACTGCAAAACCACTATTAAAAATTTTTAATGGTAAACTGTCCATTTAAATTACTTGTACACTTGCTTTATGCTATTCCATCTCCTCCTCCTCTTTCAACAAATAAATGCTGCTTTTTCTTTTGTCTGATCGTTAAGCAGCGTGTGACACCCAATGCCCCACCCTTTAAAAATCGAACAAAATTGTCTCCGACCAGAGGACCCAATGCAAAAAGGTTGGCTTCTTTAACACATTCATAGGTATATGCATCTATCTCCACAGGATTACTTTTACAAGTGATTGGCTGGCTTGAGTTATGGCCAAGGTAACACCCTTGTTCTTTCAGAAAAGACAGATTAGGATGAGAACCTATCAGTACTACTGCTGCAGACAGTTTAAATATTTTCTTCAATCCAGAGACACTTTGAAGAACACATTTCATGTCCGACATAAAGGAAAGCACATGGTGCTCAGGAAAACTGGTATAATCAGATAAAAGATTTGAGTCTGTAGAATATGACTGAGTACACATCATATGATAGACTTTATGATATTCAGGATAAAGCTTTTTGGGAAGTTGTTTGAAAATTAAGCTTGCATCAGTTACTCGTCTGCGAAAAACATGGATCACAGGAATATTGCTGTTGTAAGCACACAGTACCGCATCAGCTGCAGTAAGCCCAGAACCTACAATTAACACTGGATCCACTTTGCCACGAAATTTTCCTTTGCCTATTGCAGCTCCAAATTCAGGCACTGAATGAAACACAAAAGGAAAATCTTCTCCTTCAACTTCCAGATGGGCAGGCGAATCCAATGTTCCAGTTGCTAGAGCTACATTCTCAGCAAAGAGACAAAAAGGAACAGGAGAACCGTCTGCTATTTGTTGATAACCTCTGATTTCCCAGTTTCTCTTGACAAATTTTGATTTCTCAATCTGTAAATGCTCTGTTGAAATATCTCTGTCTTGATCATCACTCTCATCTTGCTCTCTGTAGAGCCTTGATACAGAGGTTATATAAGTATTTTCTCTGAAATTCTTCTGAAGACCCATAACTTTTACATAATGCTTATAGTAGCGAGCTATTTCTTCTGGCATAACTCGATCACCTTTTAGGTTCCTATTAAAAGAAAAAATACATTATAAAGATAGTACTTTTAGTTCTATGATTAATACTCCATTTAATAAGCTTTTATAACTTTTTAATTTCTCTGGACCACCTTAGCTAAATATCATCCCGACACTTTACAAAGAAAGCTTGATATTTTTCCTTTTTAAGACAGTATTAATAACTTAGTTTTATCAACTAAAAGTTCCAGGAAGGCAAAAACTATACTTAATGCATCTGTTTCCCTAGTGTCATTCACAGTGTAGCTCAATTTAGTGCTTAATGATTTTCAGTGAATGAATAAAGGGATTAAATGCAGGTATCTAAACACTATACAGACTTTCACATCTTGCAGTTATAAGCTATAACTATCAGCTGAATAATAATCACTAAGAAATTCTAGGTCTAATATCCATACATTTCACAGAGATAACATCATCTTTACATGGTTTTTAGAAAGTTGCTATTTTTCTAATGACAAGAAATAATTTAGCTTCTGCTGAATGAAATCATTTTATAGCTAAGTAAGCAAGATATATTTTTATTTTCCTACTCATAAAAGCAAAAAATATAATTGCTCTATATAAAAAATGTATAATAGTACATTTTTCATTTTCCACTTGAATTTTATTTTTTTCCACTTCAATGTTAAAGGTCAGTAATCTCCCTAAACCCCATTCCTTAATTAGAAGTTGCAATAAAATCAAACCTAATCATTTGATGTAATTTGTATCTAAATTTTATAAAATTTTTTTCTCTTTAAGGCTTTAAGATTTCGAATATACTGTTTTATAAACTAGGATATTGACAACTAGTTTATTTGCCCAGGGTCACAACATGGGAAGTTAGTCAGGACTCAGACTCCAAGAGACCTGAGAGTCTGCTCTTAACACTATGCAAAGGCAGGTACTACAGCAAGACTCATTTTCACGTATTATTCAAGATACAGTATGCCTAATTTAGGAAGATTAAATGCTTCTGGTGCAAAAACTTATGCTTTCCCTTTTCTTACTCGTTTTAACGAAGGAAAGAGCATGCTGCTGAGCAATTTTGTTTGTTTAATTACAGAAATCAGGAACTTGTACAACTTGCCTTTACAAAGTTTAGTTTCAAACCTATGAAACAATTCCTTTTATTTAAAACCTAAAAAGATTTTTTTAAGATTTAATCTTTACCCATGATGATTTCATTTGTTCTCCTATTTCTTTTTTTTTTTTTTTTTTTTTTTTTGGTCTTTTTCGTTTGTTCTCCTATTTCATGTAAAGGAAAATCTCTATGAATTAACATGGCTTCTATTTAGAAGGAAGTCAAGTACTCAAATGTTACATCTCTGTCCTAATACAGGTTAATTAACTCCACCAATTAACTTCCTGCATTGTTTCCCTTAATGGTCAAATTAGAATCAGTTCTCTACATTAGTAATTCCTATCTATTTTAGTATTTACTATTCTTGGAAATAGGGATTTTCATAAACTTTTTAATTCTGGGTTCTTTGCTCCAAAATAAATAAAACTCGTGTTTTCCCAAGATGGTATTTTTCTATTTTACATTTTTAATGAAAATATTTATCTTCATATCCAAATAACCATATCTAAGATTCATTTATTTCATCACTCTGAATTATCAATCATAAAACATACTCCTTACCCTGAAAGTCAAATACTGTAGGTGTATACATGAGATATAAGACATATCCATTCATAAAAATAACTAGGCAAGCATGTGGAAAATCTTATGTGGGTAGACAAGAAACAAAAGAGAAAGCAATGTAACAGAACAGGTATAAATCCAGAAAGTCAAAGGAAATGAATCTGAAAACAATCTCTTACTTGTGTGCTTAGTTTGTATAACACCTTTAAATGAAAACCATCATTATAATCGCTGCTTCAAGGAAGTACTTTTATTTGAAAGACTCGTACGTTTATATTCTTCATTCAAAACAGGATCACAATTAATTGTGAAATTTTCCAATTAATTGTCTGTTTCATCACACACCAAGGATCTTTACCTTCGTTTGCTAGACACCCAATCTTTAAATTTCAGTCCAGGTAGCTCCATCCAATTTCCAAAGCTGATTGTCAACATGGAGCCTTCCATATTCTGTTAGAATTAGAAGAGTTAAAAAAAAAAAAAAAAATGCAACTAGGCGGTAACATGGATTCTTTTTAAGCTAAATTCATCTTATTTATAATTAAGACTTTGGAGAAAGTATGTTCAAAGCAGTCCTAAATGGCTGTACAAATTCTAAAACTTCACTCCAATAAACTTTCACACTTTTTCATTATTTGGTATTACCTATTTGTATTTCTTTCATGTAGTCACACATTTATAAACAAATTTATAGTGTTATCCAATGCTCACAAAATGCTTATAGCTTTAGCCTGTGATCAACACAGCAATTCAAATATGCATGTTAAGAAAAAAATTTAATGTTTGTACTTTTTTTTGTACCGGGGATGGAACTCATGACCTCTCGATTGCCTGGTAAGCGCTTATGTCCTGAGCTAAATCTCCAGCCCTGCGTTTTCACTTTTTAAATAAAAGAAAAAAAGTTCATTTCCAAAACCTTAGAGGTTTTTCCATTTTAGTATTTACAGATTTTCAAAAATTAACAGAAATGTTTTTTCATCAATTTTAATTCTAAAGTCTTGGTTGACTGGATACAATAGCATCGCTTCCTAAGAATAGAAAAATAAGCAGTGGTTGCCCGAGAAACAGATTCACTGTTGGAGAAGTGAGCCCTCCAAACTTCCCTGGCCTGCTTACATTTGCTTTGTTGAAAAAAACAACAAACAGCAAAGGTCAAGGTTGAAGGCATCTATCCCAGTGACCAATGACCTCTTAACCCTAGCTTGTTTACACAAAACTTCTCTTGCTCTATTTCTATATAGCACAGCGTTGGCAATGAGGCATATTATTATATTAACAGGATATTCACTTCTTGTTAAGCCCTGAGAAGTATCATTTATATCAGTACATAGATAACACACACAGGGAAAGAATGCAGGGAAAGCTGCCAGTGCTTAGAGCAGACCAGCCCTGAAAACTGGATCAGAATCTAGAAGCTCACTAAGAGGAACTGTTAAGAATGTTTTATATGACATTTTTTGGAACCATTAAACAGTGTCATCTACAATTCTAAAACCTTCATGCACAACTCTTGTTGCTTTTGGGTGTCAATCTCATCATCTTTGCACCAGTTCTTCCAGAGGGGTAGGAGACCCAGGTTTGTTGCTCCCAAGTGACCTTCCTTTCCCATAGGCCAACCTGCATGCCATGAACAGCCTGCTATCATGGAAATTGTCTTGAGAAGGAAAAGTGTCTTAAGGAAACAAGACAGAAGTACTATAGGGACAGCAAATATCTATTTCTTCAAGGATGAAAATGGGCTTTCAGGAGTGTACCACTAGAAAGGAAGACTACTGGGATTGGGAATGTGGCTCACAGTAGGAGCATTTGCCTTAGTAGAGCACTTCCCTAGAAAGGAAGACTACTGCAGGCCAAAACAGAAACTAGCATGACAGCTCAATAATGGGAAAGAACACTGGATGTCCTACAAGGAATTAAATGATACAGAGCCACGTTAGGAAAGCATAAACTCAGCAGGTCTGCGTTACTCTTACAGTTCACATTACTAAGAAAGAGGGACTCAGGCAGCTTATTCACCTGCTAGGCGCCTGCAAGGTGGGCCAGAAGAAGAGAGCTCTCGAGATCCAACCATGGAGGGACTCAGGCAGCTTATTCACCCGCCCTCTTGGTAAGCACCTGCAGCTTGGGGCTGGAGGAGAACCATTTCCTGTGAGCCTACTGCCACGCAGGCTGAAAATCAAGCACACTTTTCTCGCCTGCCCCCTCACCCCTTAGCTACTGGGGATAGATGTTTCAACATCTCTTGGGAGGATGACCATATGCAGTACAGCAAATGTGGGGGATTTCCTTCTATCTTCTGTTCAAAGGCATAGGTTGTTTTCACTGTTTTGTTATGTTTCTCTTGCTCTATTCAGTATTCTCAATTGGTTTCATAATTTCTATTTTTGGTTTGATTTTACAATATGTAATTGACTGGACAACTATTGTTAAGTTAAAGAGATATATCATAGTACTTATTACTACTATCCCAGTATCCTACTGTGAAATCCTGTACCAATTTCACTGCATTGTCTCGATTGGCTTTGTTCTGTCTTGTGCTGTGCATTTTTACTACTTTCAAAATTAAAAAAAAAAAAAAGAAAAGAAAAGAAACACATGTTAAGACTTATGCATATGTAGAATCTATAAACAGTTTATGGGAACTGATCTTACGACACATGATGAATTGAACAGATAAAAGAGACACTAAAATACCCAGTGCTAATCCTGGAGTGTCAATGTGAAACCCAGCAATAGTACTATTCTTTGTTCAGAGTGATATTAGCCTGCTTGGGTTTATTCAATGTCAACATAATTGAAGATATGGGTAACTGCATGTATGTTTAAGTGTATAGGATTGATAACCGTATTTCTAAGTTTTTGTTGGATAGTTGAACAGAACTGGTTGCAATCTCACTGTTTGAATCCCCACTTTATATGCTCCACTTTAGTATCTTGAATAACTATTTGTAAGAAAACAATCTGACTTCTTCTTTTTTTTTTTTTTTTGTCTTTTTCCTTTTTATCGGTACCGGGGATCGAACTCACAACTGCCTGCTTGTAAGGCAGGCACTTATGCTGCTGAGCTAAATCCCCAGCCCTAAGAAGATAATCTGTAATCATCAACTAGTGATTTCTTACTGTTTATTTTTTTCTTTGAAATTATGTATTATTTTTACCTGTTTTCTGTTTTGTTAAGTCTTTCTTTAAATGCAGTTTTAAAAAGAAGACACTACAGTACCCAGTGCTGGTCACGGAGTGTCATGATGTGAAATCCAGCAATACTATTATTCTTTGTTCAGAATGATTTTAACTTGCTTTAGTTTGTTTAAGCTAAACATAAATGAAGATATGGATAACTGCATGTATGTTTAAATGTATAGGATTGACAACCATATTACTAAGTTTTTGATGGACAGTTGAACAGAACTGTTTGCAGTCTCTTTGTTTGAATTCCCACTTTACATGTTCCATTTTTGTACCTTGAACAACTATTTGTAAAACGACAACATCAACTAGTGATTTCTTACTGTTTATTTTTCTCTGAAGGTATGTACTATTTCTACCTATTTTCTTTTTTGTTTAATCTTTAAATAAAAATAAAAAATAAAAAAATAAAAAAAAAGAAAGACCTGTCTCCTGGAGCAAGCCTTAACACTGACTCCTAGGAGATAACCTCTGGGCCAATCCTTCAGGATATGCCACTCGATGAGTATGACTGTTTTTATGTCTGAAGTGCTGGCCATGCTATACTAGTGCAACCGTGTGTATTTATCCTAACAATGGGATGTGTGATGAATACCAGCTTTTGCTTGGGTGGCAGAGGTCTGAGGTCAGCCACATGGCACTATTGACCTGTAACTATAGGCCTACAAAAACCCCTGTGTACTAGGCATGTTCCCTGGTTGGCAACTCTACAGGAGCCCTGGCATATACCACCTACTGCTAAGAGATTGAAGCATTCCCTACTTGGTTTCTCCTTGATTTTTCTTTTTTTTTTTTTTAATTTTATTTAAGGAGAAAAGAAACAGAGAAAGGGTACAAGTTATACAGATTTACAGAAAAAAATAAACAATAGGAAATCACTAGTTAATGGATTACATATTGTCATCTTAAAAATAATTGTTCAAGTCACAAAATTATAGCATGTAAAGTGGACATTCCAACAGTGAGACTGCAAACAGTTCTGTTCAATTATCCAATAAAACTCAGTGATATCATTTTCTATCTTATACACTTAAATATACATGCAGTTATATCATTTACAAGTTTCTCCTTGATTTTTCCCCAGGAGCCATATTGCTAATCTGTAACCATTCATTATAATACACTGAAACCATGAGTATATCATCTTTTCTGAGTCCTATGACTGTCAATCATTGAGATTAAGCACAAACATGCTGTCCTTAATACAAGCCTGCCAGAGCATATGATGCTCTAGAGAAGGAGAGAGAGGGAGAAAAAAAGAAGAGGGTGAAGCTAAATCAGATCAAGTATGGTGAAATATATTAGATTTGCACATTATACATTATCAAATGGGGACTAATTTAAAGAGAATAATTCATGCATATACCACATCAGATGTGTTTTAGATAATTCTGGTTTTGGTATGAAGAGTGACTAAAGAAGAAAAAGTGAATCAGAAAATCATTTAGAAAAGTTTTATAATAATCTGTAAAAGAAGAGTAGATTAAATAATTTATCTAAAAAAAAAAGTGGATGAGCTGGAGATCTACCACTGTGATATAGCATGTACATAGCATGTGAGGCCTTGGATTCAAGGGGTAGCAAAAAGATCAGAAAAAGAAAAAAACAGATATAAAAGGAAAATTAAGCCCCATAGGATGCTAAGGCAGAAAGATAAAACCCAGTCCAGAAAACTTGTGACTTACTGAGACCCTATTTCAAAAAAAAAGAGAATAATGAATGAGAAAAGATCTGCTGATTAATTTGATGTGAGAACTGGAAACAGAAAGATCAAGTAAGACTCTCAGAATTCTGACTTGAACAACCTAGTAAGAGTGCCATTTAATGATAAAACAATTAGATCACAAGAACAGTTTTAGGCAGGCTGAGTTTCTTGATACTTTTGCAATCATTAAGGGAAATATCTAGTTAGATATATAAGTTAGATATATAAGAGCAAAAGGCACCCTAAATTTTTATTTGGTAATCAATCAGTACACATACTGAAGTCACTAAAACAGACGACATGATCCAGAGAATGAAAAGAAGATGTTAGCTTGGGATACAGTTTGTTGGACCGTTTTTTTTTTAAGGTTTTTTCCCTGGTACTGGGCATTGACCTCAAGACCTTGTTTGCCAGGTAGATGCCCATGCCACTGAGCTATGTCCCTGGCCCCACTTGTTTTATTTATTTTCATTTATTTAGTTTTTGAGACAAGGCCTCTCTATATAGTTTAGATTGACCTTGAATTCACTATGTAGCCCAGGCTGGTCACAAACTCCCAGTGATTCTCCTGACTCAGCTGCTTAGGTATTGAGATTACAAACATGTCACCACATTCAGGGAAGGAGCAATTTTTTTAAATTAATTTTTTTTTAATTTTTTTTGTACCTGGGGATCAAACTCATGACTTCACACTTGCCAGGCAGGCACTTATGTCTCAGAGCTAAATCCGCAGGCTTTTTTTTTTTTTTTTAATTTTAAAAAGTGAAACAGAACAAAAGGATAGAAACAATACAGAATTTCAAGAAAAACCAATAGGAAATTAACATTATTTAATATATTGCATATTGTTATCTTAGATTTAGGTGTTCAGGTTATAAGATTTAGGCACAAGAAAATGATCAAACAATGAAAGCACAAACTGTTCTTTTGGCTGAACTAACACAGATGAGTAGTATACCTATCTATCTTGTATGCATACACATGCATAGATCTTGTAATGTGCATACAAGATAGATCTATATACATACAGGAGAAGCAATGTTTTAAAGAGCAGAGTCCCACAAAGGTTAACTGAAAAGGAGTGACCAAAGAGGAAGGAAATCAAGAAGACGAAAGAGTCAAAGAACCTCAGCTATTCATTAACACTGTCAAATGCTGCAGAGCTCAGGAAGTTTAGAAACTCCACATATAATTAAGTAAAAATGGGACTTACTGGCCTTTTTTTCTTTTCTTTTTTTTTTTTTTTTTTTTTTTAGTCTTTTTCCTTTTTATTGGTACTAGGGATCGAACTCATGACTGCCTGCTTGCAAGGCAGGCGCTTAACAAATCCCCAGCCCTTGGACTCAATGACCTTTAAAAAGAATAGGCCCTGTGGGAAACCAGCAACAGAGGCTGGAGTAAGTGCGCTATAGGAATGGGAGGCAGAGGCATGAGACAGTGTACACGGATAAACATCTCAAGAAGTTACCTCTGAAGAAAAAGACACAGATAAAGTGACACCTTAAAAAAATCTTAAGAAATAATTTGAGCATATTTACATAGTGACCAATAAACACTGGCAGAGAAACTAAAGAAACAAGAATAGAAATAAATAAGGTCCTTGAGAAAAGGGAAAAGCAAAACAAAAAACCCACAAAAATACAGATGTGTGTGTGTGTGTGTGTGTGTGTGTGTGTATACACACACACAGATACATTTACATAAAAGATAGTTAAAAGTTACACTACTAATTTCTCTTAGTTCATTGAAAGTAAAATTTTGTGCTATTATTGTTTGGGCAATTAAATGCTAGTATGATTGAGTAACTAAAGATAACAACAAGCAAAATATTAAGCACTGTTACTCTCTTATTATCTTGTATTGAAACTGTTTTCAGGCATAGTGGCACACTTCTGTAATCCCAGCACTTGAGGGGCTGAAGGAGGATCTTTACAAGTTTGAGATCAGCCTGGGCTACAAAGTGACCTTAGCCAGCCTGAACTGCATAGTGAGACCCTGTCTCTAAATAAATAAATAAACAAATAAATAAATAAATAAAAGAAGACTGGGGTCCCCAATACAGCTGGAAGGTAAACCTCTTCCACTGTAACAAGAAACCGAACGGCATGAATACAGATAAGTTCATAGGTATGAAGGTAAAACTAGAAGTTTTATGTTAATTCTATTTCTCTGCAAAATGAGAACTAAGAGCATTTCTAAATACAATAGAGGAAAAAAAAGCTTGAGAAGAACTTACTCAGGAAATAGACAAGGTTGCCAAGTACTGTTTAGGGCCTAACTGAGGTTTCTTACTTTGTATCAGTAGTTTCTGCTGTTACAGATAGTTGTCCTGACTCATCAAAGTATACATTTTAAAAGGATGCTGCTTATTATAAATTAGTTATGCTTAAATAAATTTAATATTAAAAAGCAGAAAACAAATAGCAAAAGGCACAGGTAATTTGGTAGATGCTATATCATAAGGAGAATTAAGATTTTTAAAACGATGGGTCATATAGGGTTCTTAAGAACGCAACAATAAGGGCTGGGGATTTAGCTCAGCGGCATAAGCGCCTGCCTTGCAAGTGTGTGGTTGTGAGTTCAATCCCCGGTACCGATAAAAAAGAAAAAGACAAAATAAATAAATAAATAAAAGAATGCACCAATAAGGACTGGGGATTTAGATCAGCGGCAAAAGCGCCTGCCTTGCAAGTGTGTGGTCCTGAGTTCGAATGCACCAATATAGAAACAGTCAAATGAAGTTTGTACTAAAGTTCCAACATCTAATATGTTAAAGTTTCCATGAAGCATGTATTCATAATACTGCAAACATTTATACAACATATGAACACTCACTACAGTGACAATGTTAGACACCATATTAACTGCTCAGGACATGGGAACAAAGAATATGTATTACCTACTTGCCCCTCACCCAGTGAAAGGTACTAGGTGAATCTTTAATTCATAGGTTCCACAGTTTAACCCCTGGACTGAACTGTGTTGTCCGGCTTCCTGAATTCTTATGTTGAAGTACCAATACTCAATTTGATGTCATTTGGAGATGGAGGCTTAGGATGTAATTAGGGTCAGGTAAAGTCATTATGGTAGGTCCTTATTAAGGGGTCAATGGCTCTCTAAGAAGAAAACCTGTGTGTGGGGGTGCATGTTATTAACTATTAGGAGGCAGAGGCAATTAGATCACAAAGCACTCTGGGAGGCACGCTAGCAGGACCCTGTCTCACAATAAAAATAAAAAGGGCTGGGGATGTAGCTCAATAGTATAGTGTTTGTACAGGATGTATGAGACCCTTGGTTCAATCCCCAGTACTGCAAAAAGAAAAAAAAACATTATAGGGAAAAGCCTGTTCTAAGACTATACTCACAAAAACACTTAACTTAGCCATCATAGGCAATAGACCTATATTTAACTAAACTCTATGGCGTTAAAATTCTCAGATATAAATGTGTAAGTATCACATATAACAATATCCTCACAATATTTACGAATGAAGTTGATCTTATCAAGACAGTTAAATAATTCACATACAATTAAAATATTAAGAAAAATATACTCACATGCCAAGCCCCACCAGGTGGACCTTTACCAAGAACTAAGTGAGGAATATAATGATGTTGTTCTAATTTCCAATGCAAAATGGATGGATAATCATACCCAAAGTCTGCATCTGGATGAAGAAGTGTATCAAAAAGGACTGCAACTGGATTGGATGATCGGCCCTCAAGGCCCTCAGACAGGTATTCTAAGTCCTGAAAAAAAAAGAATTGGAAAAAGGCCCAAACGAGTGCTACATTAGGAAAGACCACAACTCCAATTCAGTACCTCCCAGACAGTGTGTTACAAAATTCTGACCTTCCTTGAGATTTTAACAGATTCACTGGCCAAAGAAACAGGGAAAGTGCTGCAGTGGTGAACCTATGACATCCATGCTACAGGTAGCCATTTGTTATCATGGAAAGCTCTAAAAGGTTTGCCATCACTGGTATAAGGTAACCCACTGTTCTCTGTACTGCAAAGGCAGAAGATGCCTTCGAATAATAAAAAGCAGTACACTTCTCAAATTTATTTAAGCACCTATTAAAATTCCATCAGACTCTTGAGTAACTACTATGAAAATAAAATCGTGGAATACATTAATTATTGTTACTCTGTTAGCCAGATTTAAAACTTTTATTTCTATTTTTCTTCTCTTTAAAACAAAACAAAACACTCCGTCAGAAAATAACCTGGGAAATTCTGCTCCTGTCCAAGAAATTCAAGAAAATAAATTGGTATTACTTGGCAGAAAGTATTATATTTATGAATACAAGAATGAAATTTATTTAAAAAAAATAAAATTTAGAATAAAGTATTTCTGAGACACAATGTTTATATAAATGAAAACTATTTTTGTTTCAGCAAAAAACAAATTTTAAAAACTGACATATAAATTTACCTGATCAACAATGGAGAGATGTCTTGCTTCTTCTAATTTACTATGTAAGATTGTATTTGGGTGTATTGCTTCTGATGATAAATATGGTCTGTAGCCTGATAACATGTATGAAAGGCATATTCCTGAGGGTCCATTTCCTATTTTTTAAAAAGAGCAAAAAGCATACATTAACACTCTTGTTGCTTGGCTTTTCACCTACTTTGAAGGTATCTTTTCTTCCTCATCTAGTTTTATTCCTCTATCTTAAAAAAAAGTCGCAAGATTCTGACTTTTCAAATTTTCTTTTGAGAATCTCATCTACTCAAGGCTTCAACAATCCTCAGAATTAGTTCTATTGTCTGACTGCTTTTTCAAGAATGTATCTCACATTAGTATGCAAACATTTCATTCCACCTGACGCGCTAATAATAAAAATCATGTGTGTTCAAAACAACTTTGTAAATCCTTTCTTTTAAAGGTGCCTTCTTTAAATTAAACCCTGTTTCATCTCAAAGTATGGTTCTACTTAAATTCTGGATCTACATCTATTTTGCCACTGATATCCAGTCTGTTATCTTCGCTATTCTCATTCCCTACCTCTCACTTAGAAAGAAACGAAACATCTTGTTTCTCCCTTTCCACTCCCAAATCATTTCAGATAGTGCCTGTCCAAGTGTCTGGTACTCCACTATCCTCACTGTGTCATCACTGTCAAGGCCAACTGCTTGTTTCTATTTCAGTGGTCGTTATGTTCTTTCTGATCTCAGCCATCTTTCCCATCCCAACACCTAATACTGCCTTCCTATAAGTATATACCCGTTAAGTAAAGCCAAACTGGATTTCTTGTTGAACCCCACAAAACTACTTTCATTTATGCAATTTTTCAGTCTGGGTTGTCTTATCGCTATCAAAAATTTAATCAGACTGAGACAACACCTAGCCAACAGCATCCTCCCAAACCCTTTGTCCTGCCCCATACACATTACCTCAAATAAAATATGTACAAAAATATGAATAAGAAAATTAAGACTGTAAGAATGCTAGAAAAGAGGTAATACTTCTATAATGCTAGTGTAGGAAAGCTATAAGGAGTTAGAAAACCTAAAAGGCAGAATGGAAATTCAACCACTTGATAAAAATGAAAAACATAACAAACAGGAGTTAAGATCTGAGACACAGTTAATTTCTTTGAATTAAAAAAAAAGAAAACTCGTTCATATCACCACACGCAAGAAAAAAAGCTTTAATAAAACACAATTCATTTCATGACTTTAAAAAGAAGAAACAGAAACTGCTTCAACATGATAAAGATACAAAAGATACAAAAAACTTAGAGCTAACATCATACTCAGTGGTGAGAAACTAAATGCTTTCCCTTTAAGATTAGGTCCACGACAAGGGTCCTGCTTCTCACCTCTTTACCACCCAGCACCAAACAGGCGTTCTAGTTAACACAGTAAGGAAAGGAAGGAAAATAAAAGAGTAGTTTAGCTTTTTGTTTGTTTCTTTTTGAGACAAGGTCTTGGCTATGTAGTTTGCGCCAGCCTTGAACTCACTTTGCAGCCCAGGCTGGTGCCTCAAACTCACAGATACTACTGTCTCAGCCTCCCAAGTGCTGGGATTACAAGTGTGTGCCACCATACCTGGCTAAAAGATAGAAAGATTGAGAAGATCCATCTTTGTTCATGAGTGACAGGATTCTCTCTATACAGCAGATACACAGTGAATTCTAATATAATTGCAGATTTTAGATAATAATTACAATATTGATTCATCAACCACAGCAAATATACTATGCCAAGGCAAAACACTAATTTTAGTACAGAAGAAAATGAGACAGGGAGAAAAGAACACTATATGAGCTGCACTTTGTAAAGCTTCACTTTTCTGTAAAACTTGCGTTTTTTTAAAAGTATACTGATTAAATAAACAAGTGAATAAACAAAAGAGAGCATTAGAATCTGAGGCAAAGAGCTGAATTCCTTGAAATAAAAATATACAACATACATAAAAGACAACAGGTAAAGATTACAAACAGGCAACTTATAGGAAACAGTTCCGTGGTAGGCAGAATTGTTCCTCCCCCACAGTCCTAGAGAATGTTCCCTCAGACAGCAAAAGGACTGTGCAGATGTAAGGAGCCTGACAGGGCAAGTAGCCTGAGCATCTAGGAAGGCGTGTTGTCATCACAAAGAAACTTAAAAACAGAGACCTTTCCTCAGCTGTGCTGAGAGAGACATGGTTGAAAAAGGTTAAGAAATATTACTGGATGTGAAGATGTAGAAGGAAGCCCAGAGAAAAAGATGTGACCATTCTCTACAAAGCAGAAAAGGAAAAGAAACAAATTCTTCCTCAGAGCCTCCAGAAAGTTCATAGCTCTGCTGACACCTTGATGTTAGCACAGTAAAATCAATGTTGAACTTCTGACTACTGAACAGTAAGATAATGCATTTATGTTGTATAAAGCCATTACAACCGTGGTAATTTCACAAGAGCAAAAAAATACATACATAAGAAACTTAGTTTTCTTTGCTCCGGCTGGTGAGATAGCTGCTACAATAGCCTTCCCTGCTTTCAGTTAAGCCCCAAATGGGTGACACAAGGCAAAATGGGGGTGGGCTTTTTGACAGGAGTCGGGTGGACTGGTCTGGATGAAGGCAGCTTTTCCTTAGGGAAGACAGGGTTCTTTCACTCATTCCTAGGCAGCTTGCAAGAGTTACCAGGGTTGGACATCAAGGTGGAAACGAAACATAGTATTTGTCTCTTGGCTAAAAAGTACTATAAAAAACATCATATCTTATGGGGGGAATCTAACGACAACAATGTTGATCTCTTTCCCCTTCCCTCTTTTCTGGTGCCATGTTAATTAGACAACACGACTTAAATTTCCTTCCTACTAATTTTGAAACAAGGTATGAAAGACTCTCAGTAAGTCATATACCACCAAGGCACGTATTTCCCTTTTGGCTCTACCTCATAGTACTTACCCAGCCTGTTTGACTTTGAATATTATACGGAAAACATACATGACAGGTAATTAAGTGCACAAAATTATTTTTAAAAAAGCTTTGAAAATTTGAAATACATAGTATTAATATTTTATGTAGTCAGGCATGGTTTTAATACTAGCATCCTGGGGGACTGAGAGAGGAGGGATACATGTTTGTGCCTAGCCTGGGCAACTCAGTGAAATCCTGTCACAAAATAAAAACATTTTTAAAAAGGGGTGAGCATTTAGCTCAGTGCAAAAGCTCTGGATTCATTATTGCACACACACACACAAAATTCACTATTTTGTATGCCTATCTGCTGAGTTAGTATAAAGGATATGTAACAGTAGTTTTATGATTAGGGTAATTATGACTGTAAAGTACTACCATGTTGTTGCTGGCTGAACGTGAATTACTAGCTGCACAAGTCACTCCATTTCCAAGTCTCTTTTCCTGTCTGTTCCCTGCCACCATCAGCAGACTACAAAATTGTAAAGTATAATCCAGTAATACACAAAGAATGTTCCATACTGAGGTCCTGTATTATCAACACTGTTTTATAGTTAATACAATGCATATTATCAGTTCTTCAATAAGATATTACATTTGAACAAAGATGCTAATATCAGAAATCTAATTACTCTCTCCAAAGACTGAATTACTAGTTTTTTTTAACTAATAATTTATTAGTATTTTTCTTTTAAAATTTTAATTCCCTTATTATCCTTCCTTGTGCATGGAAGCTTCTTCCTTATATATTACTTTTATCCTTTAAAATTTTTTTAACTGGGGGCTGGGGATTTAGCTCAGCGGCATAAGCGCCTGCCTTGCAAGCAGGCAGTCATGAGTTTAATCCCCGGTACCGATAAAAAAGAAAAAGACAAAAAAAAAAAAAAAATAATAATCTTTTTAACTGACACAGCAATTGCACATATTTCTAGGCTACAGTGTGACAATTTGACACCAGTATACAACATGCAATGACCAGATCATCTTCAATGGCATATCTATCAGCCAAAACATTCTTGTACATCACTTCATCTTAACTTCTATGAGCTATTTTAAAGAATATTTTTCAATACAATCCTAAGAACTTAGATTACCTAGCTGTAGATTTATAAAAGCATTAAGGGGAGTAACTAACTTTCTGAAATAAAAAGCAATAACTTACCAATTATCACCACAGGCAAAGTCACTGATGAATCTTCAAGTAAAGAAGTTTCTTCAACTAATGGCATTGCTTTAACTTTTCGCACCAAATTATCATCAAAATATTGCACTAAGGAATTAAAAATCTCTCCTTCGGTCTCAGGATCACTATAATTTCTTTAAAGAAAGAGACAGAGTCAACAGCCTTTAGAAAAATCAATCTCTATGCATTGTACTTAGGGCATAAAATACTCAAGAGTTTAATAATGCTTTTAAATTGCTAGTTTGGTAAATGTCACCCTGTATCACTTAACGGCCATAAATTCTTAGTGTTTATTTCTCATTGCTATCTTGCGGGCAAATCCATACTATTACAAAGTTCTCTTTAATGGCCAAAAGATAGCATTATCCTGGAGACACTTTATAATTCTGAGATGTTCCTTATTAAGAGGTGCCTGCATTAAAGAAAATTATCACGTATATTTTAAGGAAAAAGTACTGCACTTACTAAAATTGGATATTTTGGTAAAAGAAATGAAGTATTTTTATTGTCAATAATATATTAATATAAGATTTTAATGTTGATTTCCAACCTGTTTTCCAACTGCCTCTTGGAAAATTAGTTTTAACATTCTGTTATGTTCATGCAATGAACAGAATACCCCTGAACGTGGTTAATGCTGTTATTTTACAGATTACTTCAGAATAGAATGAGTTATTTTCCATCTTCATATAGTCAGCAACAGCCAGAATGTCTGAGAGAATTAAACTTAGTAATTACTAGTAAATGTATTTATTTCTTTCCCCAACTGATGAGTCAATCACTAGTCTGAGAGGTAGACAAATAGAATTTGGCAGAGACAGACATTTTCTGCTTTGCTATAACCTTCGGATGTCCCAATCTACTTTAGGATGGGGGGCAAATTCCTTAAGACACTGAGTTTCCCTGTACCAGAGGATTCCTTTCCATTTACAGTCATAACTATGAGTAATGCGAGGATATTTTTTAAGAAATGCGTCAAATCATTCCAGCAATATATTAACGTCACAGAGTACACTTGTGCAAACTAAGATAGCTACGCTGTCACCAAGCAAGTAATCTTATGGGACAACTATCCTATGTTCAATCTATCATTGATTAAAATGTAATTATATAATGGTACATTGCTATATTTAGGCCTTTTAATTTTTTTTTTTTTCCCCTGTAAACAAGGAGATAGGCTCTTGCTATTAGCCAGGCCAGTCTCAAACTCAAGATTATCCTGCTTCAGCCAGGCATGGCAGTGCATGTCTGTAATGTCTACCCTCAGCTTACCTAAACTTTTATAGTAAAGGTTTCTGTTTTAAATTTTTGGTACCATAGTCATTGGTGTATCTTGTCTGCATGGCAAACTATTTGTAATAAACTGGGATAATGTTTGGTAATTTAATAGTGGTTTCAGAGATGAAAAACTCTGAATCCACAGAAAAAAACCCAAAACTAGGTTAACTGTTTTTACAAAAAGTAATAGTAAAACAAGGTCTACTAGTAACTATTTCTTTTAAGAAATTCAAAGGCTAAGGTATATATTTAGCATGGCTGCATGTTTTAGAGTATGTGCTTGTGGTATCACAAGACTAACAGTTAAATTACACTCAGATTTGCAATTTGAACATTATATTTGAGACAAGAATTTGAGTAATAAAAATCGACCTTAAGGCCTGGGGATTTAGCTCACCGGCATAAGCGCGCCTGCCTTGAAAGCAGGCAGTCGTGAGTTCGATCCCTGGTACCGATAAAAAGGAAAAAGACAAAAAAAAAAAAAATCGACCTTTACTTTCTTTCCAAATTAAATTAGAAAATGTATCTAATTAAGGGAAGAGTAAATAATAGCACCACACATACAGAAACAGTCATGATACTGTCAGGCTTCAATCAAGGTAGACGACATCAGAGCTGGTTTTAGAAACCTTCCTTTTTCTTTTTTGATACATTACAGTCCCGGTTTTCAAAACAAATTTAAAATAATGGTGCAAGCTTAATATCTGGATAACAAAAAGACATCATAACATTTTTCCACATCATAACAAAACTTCTTTACATGGTCAAACTAAAATGAAATGCTTTACTACTGGAATTATGTTTTACAGTCTAAGGGAGACTATAAATTGTCTAAATTTTACTAAACTGCCAATGCCATAAATGAAGTCAGTCATACTCCTCATCTTCCAAATCGGAACTATGAGGTTTGCTCTTTAGGAAAGCTGGCAGACAGCTTTTGTACAATTCCTATCAATTCAGGTATTACACAAATCTTAAAATGTAGATGGTGCCATAATGTTATAGAATGTATGTTTCTAATAAGACTGCACAAAGACCTGCATTAGTAAATTAGATATACATTTTAAAGGATCTGGCAAACAATTATTTTTAAAAAACTTAGACAAAACATTTTACTATAGTGGTTTCTTTGGTAATGAAGCAGGCTTATTTTCCTTCCTCTCAAAACCAAAACATGTCAAGTACTTCTGTTTTCACCCTTACTCCAACTTTTTTGTGCGGAAATAAGGAGACTACTTACCACCTGGCATTAGGGGTAAGAAAATGATCCCCAAATTGGCCCGGTAGTGTTCAACTATATACCACAGGTGCCAATAAGGCTCTTGGACTGTAATTTCTAAAAGGGTTGTTAGTTTCTCAGTAGCTCAGTTTAACTAACTTTTACTAAGCAACCAGATTTCTAACACGCCAAAGTAAATCTGATACTCTCAAACCCGAGGTGGCCCACGCTTGTTATCCTGAGGTAGGAGGATCCTTGGGAGTTCAAAACCAGCCTTGGTTATGAAGTGAGCTCAAAGTCAGCCTGACCTGCTCAGTGAGATCCTGTCTCAAAACGATAAAAAACAAAACAAATAAAAAAAGAAAACCACTGACTGTCAAAGCAGTCAACAACTTGTCAGAAGTTATAACTCAGCAGTCTATTATATAAGACCATGTATTTTCAGGGTTTTGTTTTGTTTTGTTTTGTTTGCAGTACTAGGGATGGAACTCAAGGATGCTCTAATGTCTGACCACCTCTGAGCTATATTCCACTGCCCTCTTTTTGAAAGGTCTCACTTTTTTTCAGGCAGGACTTTGTGATCCTCCTGCCTCAACTCCCTAACTGATGGAATTGTAAGCATGCACCAACTCACTCTGCTCAGTAGGATCTGCAACATTCAGAACTTAGAGATTCATGAAAAATAATGGGTATTGGGAACAGGAAGAAAATGTTCACATGGGGAGGAGAACAAGAGAAGGGGACGGGGAGATGAAAGAAGTAACAGTAAAAAAACGAGAAAAGAAGGGAAAAAGGGAAACAAAGCTTTTGTTTATGGGAAGGACATGAGTGATTGCAAAGAGGATAGGGAAATGGGAGAAAAGAATCAAATTATGTCATGTACAGATATAAATTATGTCATGTACAGGTGAATGTGATCATTATGTGTATCTAAAATGTATCAATAAAATCTCATGTGGGGGGAAAAAAACTGAGAAGACTAGCACGTTGCTATTACAACGTGAGTCCCGAACTTTTTGTGTGCCTTACATCTTTTTGGTAAAGCTTGCAAACCTCGTCTCTCAATGTTATTAAGCATATATGACTTCACAAGAAACCACTATAGTAATTTTAAAAACCCTGCAGATTATACGTGTGTGGATTTTCTACAAGTTCACTGATGTGTTAATAATGTAATTTTACAGAAATGATAAATAGTATTTCTAGATATCTGCAACTACTGTGATAGGAAAATATTTGTGATTTCTATTGATGACAACTACAAATACTTTGATTTGTTGCTTATATTCGTAACTGGAATGTTAGTTTCTGGAGTTTAGTAAAAATAATCTATCTTTCCATCCTGCATTTTATCAATGAACTGCCAGCATCCTATCTAGTTCATTAAATAACTCTTGAGGAGAGTTACCTACTTTACAAAAAAAAAAAAAAAAAAAAAAAAAAGTCACGTATCATCATTTGGAACATTCATACAAGGACTTAAGTCTATACCGTACTAATCTTATCACTGCTTCACCCCACGTTTAAAAAACAGTTTCTGCTGTCTCTGGTCTTTCTCCTTTTAACTCAAGTACTGCTGAACTGTGCTCAATCTAGAAAACATCTTCATTTTTATTTCACAACTACATAAAGTTTATCACACCTAAAAACTCTCCCCATCATCTGAATGTAAAATTTCCATTTTTCACATTTTTATCCCGTAACACGGCTTACAAGGACCAGTAAGTTAAACTAGTCAGAACCTATTTGTAATTAGGTTATGATACTAAGACTTAGTTCCTTACCTTCCTTCAACCCAGTAACTTAAAAAAATTTTTTTAAGTAACAAACATTTAAAGGAGGCCCATTGTAGAGCCCACCCCTAAAACTTGGTAGGACTTGAGGTTTCTGCTCCCCGCGACCGACTGCCCCGGCCTACCGCTCTCGCAATCCCGTGACCGCGCGGCCCAGGGTGGGGACCGGTCGACCGCTGTGGGGACCCCGAGTGAGGACCCAGCCCAGGATGGCAGGAGCGAGGGTACCTGCGGCCCCGACCACTCAGCCCCCACTCTGCCTGACCCGAGACCCGAATGCCCCCACGGCGCCCTCGCCCCGCGCGCGAGTCACCTGAGATGCCCGGGCAGGGAGCAGCGGCAGCACCACACCGGCATGGGGCGCGACGCGAGGGGCGCCCGAGAGCGGCCACCGCCGCCGCTTCTCCCCGCAGGGCTGCCCGCCCCGGGCGCCCGCTCGTTCGGGATTGCAGGGTCTGCCGGGCGCCCCCGCCGCGCGTCTTTCCCCGGCCGTGGGGCTCGCCGGAGCTCAGCGGCGCTGGACTGCGGCTCCGCGAAACAGCTTCCGCTCCTCGCCCGCGAGTAACCCGTCGCAGTGGCGAGGGCCTCCGCGGCCACGACGGGGCGGGGCGGGGCGGAGCGAGCCGCCGCGGCGCGGGCTCCTCCTCGCAGGTGCGGCGTAGGCGAGGCCGGCGATTGGTACAGCGCGGCCGCGGCGGGGGCGTGGCCCGGCGAGTGGGGCCTGGTTTCACGGGGGCGGGGCGGGGCGGGGCGGGTTTGCGATGCCCTGTGCTGCCCCGCCTGTGCCCCCTGCGGGGAGCGGGTTTCCGCGGGGCGAGGAAGAGGGCTTAGGATCTGCGGGACCCCAGTAGGAGGACGTTCCACTTCCGCGACCCCTCTGAGGTTCCCGGAAGCCCGAACTTACGCGGCTGGCTAGCGTTACACAGCTCTCTGTGCTAGCCCTGGACCCTGTGTCACTCAGCAAACCACAGAAGCCGGGCCCCACTCAGAGGTTCAGATTGTGGAAGTCTGGCTTCCTGGGAGGGGTCAGCCCCCCTCGTTTAAGTAAGTGGCTCTCAAAGTGCTCCCTCAGACACCCCCCGCCGTCCGTGTGGGGGAGGGGAAGGGCAGAATGCTGGTTTGACACCGGCGTGCTCCAGGGGATTGTGATGCAACTGGGAAATAAAGGGACTCTAACTGTGAGTGGTCCCATTTGTTAAAAGTTAGGAAACGGGCACCGGAGCCTCGAGAAGGACATCTAGGAGGGTTTGATTGCTTTCTGCCCTACAGAGATCTTTCCACCTTCCTGACCTCCCTCCTCCCATTATTTTGGAGGTTAAAAATAGAAGATAGATAGATGTGCTTATAATATATGATATGAGATTTTTTCTTTGTTTTTAGTTTAGTTTTGTTTTTGTTTTGGAGACAAGGTCTCCCGAGCCTTCCAGAGTATTGGGATTACAGGAGCGCCCCGCTTTTATATATAGTTTTATTTTATTTTATGTATTTATTTACTTATTTTGGTATCAGGGGTAGAACTCACAACCTCACGCTTACCAGGCAAGCGCTTGAGCCACTGAGCTGGATCCATGGCCCTAAAATATAGTTTTAAAAGCAAGGTTTCTGAAGATTTGTTTGCTGAGTGTTGAACATGCTTGGAATTTGGATTGATTTTAAGTTCTCAGGCATTTAAAGAGAACTATAGGACTTAATTTAACTCTAGGGTTAGCCAATCTAAGGGTACTGTATATTCACCAATTTTTTAAAATCTGTTTTTCTCCTCAGAGTTACTAAAGGAACAGAATATACTGATATAGCTACTATTTAAAGAAATTATGAGCAACCCATTCAGGACCCCTTCTGTCTCTCAGGAGCCATTCCTATTCCCCATTCCTTTTCTCCAATAAATTTTCCTATTTTTATTTTTAAAAAAATTTACAAGGTAGGTTTACAGTGGCAGCTTGCAGAGTCAGGCGTGGGAGAGTGCAAAAAGATTGCCTGGGCGCTGCAGAGCTGGAGGATCCCGTCAAAAGTCCAAGTCCTGTAGCTCACTGTAGAGTCCCTTCAGAGTCCACTGCAGGCAGAAGGGTCTGCACTGGAAGGCTGGAGAGGGACATCCAAAGGCAACGAGAAGACTGGAGCTTTAACAGAGGTGCACAAGCCGGACTTCCTGCTCCTCTTTTATTCCATCCTGGCCACCAGCCTGTTGGTTGATGCCACACACACCCAGAGTGGTTGTTCCCTCTTGAGTAAATTGTCATCCATCCACCAGAACTGTGCTCAGATCCACTAGGCATTTCTTACTCAAGTTGACACCACAATTAACTAACATACCCCTCTTTAAACTACCGACAGCCTGACAGCTTTATTTTGATGTTGGTTCTGAGAGTGAATGGGGGGGGGGTGACTTTTCCCTTAATATTCATATCATTGTCATTTTAAAAAACCCGAATTATTCACAGTTACACCAATCCAGTTCAGAGCAGAATTGAATAACTTATAAGGATGTGTACAAGTGTTCTGTTACACATTTTTCCTTTTTGACTTTGTTTTCATCTTGAGTTTTCTTGCAGTATTTTCAGAACATAATAAAGTGGGCATGTCACATTTTGGGCTTCATCTGGTTTGTATTTAACCTTGTGAATGTGTTTATCATAATTTACACGATAATGATTTTTCATTAAACTAGGTCACGATACCTATAGGATTTTTCCAGTGGTAAATGGGACATACCAGAATTTTCATATTTTTATTTTCAAATAGTAGGTGTGAAATCTTTTAAAAGTTTATGAAAAGAAATCAAGATCACTGAAGATGAGAAAACAGATACTGTCAGTGAGGGTGTAAATTGGTGTGTAATCCCAAAGTTTTTGCTCATTTGCCTTATAGGAGTTTAGTCTTCCTTTCACAAAGGCTCACAATACAGTATATATACTATATTATCATATGCAGTATACACAACACAATGTATATGGCTCATAGCACCATGCATGGTACCTTTTGAGTCTCTGTGTCACCTGGTTGTAGAAGCCTTACCTAATACTTTTGGTGCTATTCTATAATGGGCCAAAATTTTATATATTAAATTATAATTTAGGGGCTAAGAGGGGTGTCTATAGTGGAGTCTGCACTATGCCAGTCATGTGACCGAGGTGTGTTACTTGGTATCTCTGACCATTGTTTACTGGTCTGTAACTTGAGTTTAATAGACCTTATATTTCATTGATTGTGAGGATAAGAAAATGTTTAAGAGCATGACCATGCCTGGGTCAGATTAGTGGACAAATAAATGTGGTTTCAGTTATTATGACTAATAATTGTAAAAATTTTCATTTTGGATTTTTTGTTTTTTCTTTATTTATTTTTGTACTGGGGATCAAACTCACGACTTAGTGCATGCCATGCAGGTGCTTATGCTGCTGAGCTAAATTCCTGGCCCTATTTTCACATTTCCTAAAAGCAAAATCTAGAAACTATGTGCTATGAACTCAATTGTGTTCCTCTAAATTTGTATGTTGAAACCCTAGCCTCCATTGTGACTGTTTTTGGAAATATAGCCCATCAGGAAGTAATTAAGGTAAAGTTAGCACAGAGAGAATATTGAGGACTGAGAAATTCACTCCCTCCTACTCACTGGAGCGCCATAATTTTAGGAGTTCATATAATCCCAGACCAAAGCACGTGCAAGCCCCTTTTTCCCTTCTCACTCTCGAGTGCAAGAGCCTGATTGTCTACATGATGTGAATTGTTCTTTTTTTTCTGTCATCCATTTGTTTCTGGCCTTCAGTAAAAGTTGCTGCTTTTCTTTCATCCCTGTGCGTACACTTTACAGTTTATTACTGTACACGGGAACATGGAATCTGTCTGTCAGATGCACCACACAATGTCAAAATGAGGCTGTAAAGATGGGGCCCTGGTCAGTTACGATTAGTGCCTTATAAGAAGAGGAAGAGACAACACAATTCACTCTCTCCAGTGGCGGGCACAGAGTAAAAGGCCATACTGGGAGGAGACTCTCACCAGGAATCAAATCAGATGATACTCTACTCTTGGACTTCCAGCCTCCAGAACTGTGAGAAAACAGATTTCTATTGTTTAGGTTACCTAGTCTATGATATTTTGTTACAGTAGCCCAAGCCAAGACACTATGTTTTCTAGAAGCAATCGAATTGTGTGTGCATGTGTGGGGGATTGAACTCAGGGCCTTCAAACTGAACTACATCATAGTCTTTTCTAAAAAAAGTTCTTTTTGTATTTTGAGATAGGGCTTCACTAAGTCACTAAACTGCCCAGACTGGCCTGGAACTTGTGGTCCTCCCTGATTATAGGCATGTGCAAACAAGTACATTTATTGTACATTATAGGCACCTGGCAAACAAGTACATTTATTGTTAGCTATTCCAAATGGATTATTGTATTTCATAAACTCTGTCAATGGACTATGTCAGGTAAGCTAGTATTTTGGTAGTATAAAAGAGTTCTAGAAAACATTCTAGAGAAAGTTACACTTTTATTAACTTGAAACTTCGGGAAGTTCATGTCTTTCAGGGTCATTTTCTACAAGCCCATTGATGCTTGCTGGTTACAGTAAGATAACTGTTTAACTGTGAAATTGGAATTCTCATTGCATCAAATAAATTCTCTACCTAGATGGCAAATAGTAGGAATGCTACCCTGTGTACATGCAAAATTGGGAATAGCAACTATGTTGGGTTCTTAAGATGAGGTTTGCTGCTGCAGTTGAATCTTAGGGGGCAAAGCAAAATACCAACGGGGCTTTCCACTAAAAAAGTAGGGTTTACTCTGGTGAAGACTGTAGTATCTGATTCAGTTGCAGAGAACAGAATTCACAGAATTTATGTTAGTTAATCTAAGGATAAAAATTCCTTTGGGGCAGTTATGCATTTTGTAGAGTCATAGGAGGGTGAAGAAACATAATAGAGGAAGGACTTGGAACAGTTCCCAAAATTGCACTGCAAGGAAAGGTCACAAGGGAGCTGCTGCCCATCTGTGAAGAAGTCCCCTTTCAGGTCTGCAAGCTACAGTTGCAGCTGCTGTCTCTAGAATTATGCCTGACATGCAATATTTTAATCTTATAAAATTCTGCCTCCCTTTACTACAAAGGGAGGAGCTTTTGTTCATTGCTGAATGCCAGTCATCTATCCCTAGACGTTCTCCCAAAGCCTCCAGAGCTGGTAGGTGGGCCTTTGGGAGGCCATTGGATGGGGGTGGGAGGAGCATGCTATTGGTAAGTGGAAGAAGCTATCCCCCTTTTTCCTCTCCTGATCCTCTGCTTCCTATGCCTGCTCTGCCATAAGCAGTTCTGTCATGCTTCCCTGTCTTGGAGCCAATTAAATATGAACTGAAACCTCTACAAACTTTGCCAAAGTAAACCTTTCCTCCTTTAGGTTATTGATGTCAAGTATTGTGTCTCCCAAACTAAAAACTGATCTTGGCTTGTGGTAGTAGTGAATCCAAGTAATCAGGTAACACTTAGTAAACCCAGAGGACTAACATAGAGTAAGCTTTGAACTAAGAAG